AAGTAGTAGTCATACGTACCTCTGCCTTTAAGCAATTGACCGTCGTACTCAGTCTGGCCTATTATCCACTGCGTAAAAGTAACCTGCCTGCAACAAGAGTGGTCCAAAGTATGCAGCAGTCGTGTTTTCAGTCCGAAACTTACTTTCTCCAAATGCCAGTGAAGAGGCGTTGGCATGGCATCAGACTTCATTGCCCCATTTCTGGATACCCTTATATTTACCAGGGCTCCAACAAATCAAGATTGCACACGGCTGATCACCCATCCAATCTGTTAAACTTATACCTCTTTGGCGGGAATACCCCCTCTTCGAAATTTGACCTCTCTATATACCCATGATTGCTTGATAGCTTCCAGTCTACCTGTCGAACTTCTCCGTCACTAGGAGACAGCTAAAGCTTGAGCGCGTAGAACAATGTTGGCTCTCCCTAACCTCGGCACAGCGTCACTGATGATCTTCTGCATCGTTGACTTCTGGTAAACCAGCATCCCGTGCCTTCGAAGGGTTCCCAAAAGAACTTGTACCGAACGATGTCGCAGGACAAAGGATCCCACTCCTCGTCCTCGTCGATTGCTTCACATCACTGTTACTTATTTCGGGTTCTCGAATTGATTGCATTGATGGGCTCGCTGGTGATTTTGGGGGGCCTCTCGTCGCGATAGGCTTCGGAATCAACAAGACTCCGGTCTATCAGTGGCGAATTCAAAAATATGACCCTGCACCGAGGGAGTATGTACGCCGAGAGCCAGGGGCTTTATCGTACTAAGTGTGACCACTTACTCAAGGCAGGTTCTTTTCCTTTAATTGACCCTTAATGAATTCAAAATTGATCCACAATGAAACGGACACTGTCTGTCAACACTGGCGTCGCGCGGCCGTGATTTGAAGGTGAATCTACCTTTATATTCCGGAACGCCGTGGACTCTGTTCTGTGCAGACTGTATGAGGTCTCCAGTTTCTCAGAAAGATTCCGTCAGCTGCATCCGACTGTGCTGCGAGACCACTCTCGGTTCCACATTTTTCTTGTCTTTAGGGCCCATTCTATATTAAGCGGACAAAGAGGGACGTTCAACGTGAAAGTTCTTTTCATCGTCAATCTGACCGTCCTTCAAACACGTTGTTTTTTACTAATCGGAGATGTGCTCGATTGAAATTGGTGCCAAATTTCCTGTGCTCACTAGTGCTCAAAAGGTCAAGTCGATCCAAGGCTAAGGCCCCCACGTTGGAATCGATCTTCTTGGTGTTAAAGTGTCGGTGTGCCATAACAACAATCAGTGGATAATCATTGTCTAGACGGATGTAGCCCTCCGTTGGTCCACGGGAAACGTGCTCAAATAGGCAAACAGTCCTAGCGATCACTCGAACAAAGGCACATTGGCCATCCTTATTTTCCACTCTGACGTCCTGGGGATTCTTTATAAACGGCGTCCTTTTGACCTGATTCTACATCGTTTAACGGGGGGGTGTCCATCTGTGCTTCAGTTCGAACAGTCTATGATCCCGAGCCTCCGCCTCCTCCTCATATCTTTGTTTTACCAACCTTCGCTCTTCTTGTCGTACCCCTCGCCAACTCCCACGCCTACCCCGACCACTACATTGATTACCCCCGTCTCCTCTTCCGACGTTCTTTCAAACGTGCCACCACATCCCTCAAAAGAAAACCAAAAAAGGTCCCACGCCCGGAGGCAGCTTACGGGACATATCCCTCTACCACGTAACGCGTTCATTCTCTTTCGTCGCGACTTTTGTCCGCCAAAATAAATTCCTTCCTTCCATCGAAAAGAAACGACAACATATCTCGCATCGCTGGTTCTCTGTGGAACGATATGACCTCTCCGCAACAGCAACCTTGGAACATGTTAACAGGGCAGGAGAAAACCGAACACGCCCTTCTTTATCCCGACTACAAGCACGAGCCCAGGAAAAGTCCGAGGGTCGCCAGAAAGAAGGCCCACACGATGGGGTACGCCGAATCGGGGCATCGAGGACGGTCTTCGCGATCCAGGCAAAACGGCGAGTACCCACCTTTGGCTCCGCACTCGGCCATCTGTCACAGCCTACCTTGTCGCCGCTCCTCCTCGTGTCCTCCTCCTGGTTCTGTGCCTGCCGCCCCCCCGGCTGTCCATCACGAAGACGAGGATGATGTCCCAATTGGACCAGTCTTTGAAACTCGAGACGACTTGCAGCGTCGCCCGAGCCGCATCATGACGTATCATTCCTCGTCCTCGGCGTATCCTTCTTCCTTCGACGTTTCATCCATCCCAATGCAACTACTCGAGCCGGAAGAGCTTTCGTATTCATGGCCTGCGGACCCGAGAGAGTTCCAGTTGATTCCTCCATCTTTGCTATGCGGCATGGCCGATGGTCGCAATGGCTTTATCTCTTCGGACTTCAGTGACGTCCAGGCTAAGAGTATTTGGATCGAGCCTTCGTGGGATTACACTCAAGCTGATACCGACATCTCGTGGGCCGAGCCAGAGTCCTTTGTGAGCCATTCTCTGATATCCTCCTATTCTTTTATCGACATTTCTTGACGTTGTAAATCAGGTTCCGTATCTCAGCACAGAGGACATAATGTCGCAATGGTACCAGGAGGTAAAAAAAGAAGAACGAGAAATACTATTTGACGATTTCAGGAAGGATCAGCAACACTTCGACACGACCTTGTTTATTTACCCATTCGCAAGCCGCGCCTTTGGGAATGCTTCTAGTTCATCTCCCGCACCGCCCAGTCTCTCGCCTTTGGAAATTGCTCCAAACGAAGTCTCGGGTCCGCAACAAGAATTGTAATCCTTCCTGCTTTTTCCTTAGACAGTTTTTTTTTTTCCCACACGAGCATACTTCCATCGCACATATGGTTTGTATTATTTGTTTCACATACTTGGATCACCGGAACGTACACTGTATTCAACTCCACGATGTTCATAAAATTACATTATTTCCGTCGACCACTAAATGAGAAATCTTGAAGTGGTGATGACCGCCACTCCCAAAGAAAATCCCAGAACGAATCTCATATCCACCTGCCTAAAGTAGCCTCTCATCGATACGCTCTCATTATCCTTCTTGTACACCCTTCCCCTAGTTTGGAACTTGTCGGTAGAATCCTGCCCGGTAGTCATCCCAGGTAACCCGTCGATACTCGTCAAGTTATTCTTGATCCAGTACCGTTTCAAACCATTATCCGGCCGAGGGGGCTCGCATATCGGGCTCTCCGTTTCTTCGGCTTCAATATCAGCAAGCTCGCGTTTGGCTGCGTATTCAAGGAGCCGGGTACGATGCGATTTGAACTCGTAAAATGGAACGGCATAGCCGCAGGACTGACGTGACGCCTTCTGAGCACACCCAAGGGAAAAAAAAAAACGGAAATAGCATGCATGCACTTACCGTCCCAACTTTGTGCACGTCGATTACGATGACCGCACGAGATCCAGGATGACGTGTCTCGGGGCGGATAAAGGCGTTGTACTCGGGTGTACCGAATTCGTAAAATTTTCCTACACAGAAGAAAACCGTTCATTCACACTGGTACAGCATTTTTTAAAAAAAATCTACGGACCTTTCCCAAATAGTCTGACAATGCTCGGTGGACCTTCGAAAGCATTGAATAGAATGGTAATCCTTCCGTTTTCGCGAAGGTGCGATATGGTCTCCACACCTGAGTAATGATGAGAGATGTTAGGTAAAGTAGACGTGGAGTGGAGACTTACCGCTTCCACTGAGGTCCTCGTACCACACCGTATGAGAGTCGATGATGTGGAAAGTCCCTTCAACGCCCTTGGATGACAGATTGACATGCCCATCAGCACTTAATGGAGCAGTGGCCACCCAAAACATTTGCTGTTTCTTGATCATAGTCATAACATATCCAGGTATTTCGTCGTAGAACTTGCCCATTGTGATTTGTGGTGGGAGTCAGAGCGGTAGTTCGAATCATCGCCAATGCGTCATGATTATTAATGTATTACTCAACTATTGCGAGCTCGAATCATGGGAACAGCAAAGAAGAAGAAATGTTCTGGGCGGCGAGGACGAGGTCCAGTCCAGATCATCACTCGCTAGATAAGAAGATTAGAAAGGCAAGGTGCATATTAGTATACTACAGTCTACAGGGTTCAAGCGGAAACTGTCAATCAGGTGTCGATACCAAAAGAAATCCCTGTGTGCTGCGAATCCAGCATAGACGTCAGAAAGCAATTCACGGGCATCAGATACAGATACTAACCAGTTTTTCGAGTCCGTCGAGGTTTGATGTGAAACGTTCTTTACGATTGTATTCTAGTGCCAGATCGTCTCGACTTCATCACCACTAAAGAAAGACAGGGTGGTCGAGGTCCACGTCCAACTCCATCAAGTAAAGTTTCTGCAGAGTTTTTTGAAACACCCACAACGGTGCTTGATCGCCAAGAGTCACGGCGCTGCGCCGAGCTGGCACACCCAAGACCGTAACAGAACAAAGCCTCCGCGACACATTGAAGTTCCCAACAGGTGTAATGACTGACCTACTCTCCGAAACAGAGAAAGCCAACGTTGTATTAGGAGTTGGCAGAGCAGTCACATCGTCACCAATGTAAGCCGAGCCTGAGGCGATGCCGTTCGAGGGCAGAGACACAAGTAACAAGTACGGTCCTTGATGGGTCTTTTCGATGGTGTACGCTGTTTTTGCGTGGAGGAGAATAGCCGTTCCATCGCGAACATGGAGGTTGATATGTCCTAGCGGCGCCGAAAGACTCGTGTTACCACCCGATGTCGCATTAACGAGCTCGTGGGTGTACCAGTCCCCCCATACGACACTACTACGTCCGGGAAAGACTCCCATATTCCCATTAGTACACTTTACGTATGGACACTGGTGTACAGTCCCCACCATCAACAATAGAGACGTTGGGTTCTAATAAGGGCGTCACCGAAATGTCCCGTCCAATCAAGAACTGCTTGTCAACACCGAACAGCTCTTGCTCATCCGGAAATCCGAAGAGCGGGCAAACAGGTGAAGTACCATACAGAGATGCGTTCGCGAACAGGGTGTACTGAAACGAGAAGGTCAGTGTGTGGAAAGAAGCAAGTCCGGTACCAAAAAACCGCTTACCCAATAAAGTAACAGAGAATAACGAACGGCTATAGCGGTTTTCGATGCAATTGGCGACGCTGTCCCAGCGGTAAGGTTTCTGAGAGATTGCACCCTTGATATTTTGATTGCGATAAAATGGTGGAAATGCAGCTAACTGCATCCACCGATTACACAGCTCTTCATCAGTGTTCCCGTCTATCTAGATGCGTCAGTCGTCATGGTGATAAGATGTTCCTATGGGACACCATTGAATCCACAGGCATCGGCACCGACAAAAGGTGTCTGAAATAACTGAAACTGCTGGATACCCTGAATGCTGTAATACATGTATCGCTATCTGTGCGTCTCAAATCAGTGACCTCAGGCACGATAGCAAAGGCTGCTATACTTACAGAGAGTGATTATCGCCAAAGCTATACAGTAATCACATCAGTTCGGAGTAACATGTAATAGGGAAATCTTTGTACCCAGTGACCAGTCCACTCCACTTGCCAGAGGAAGTGAAAGTCGATCGACTGATGACGAACGGCCCCTTTCCAGGTAAGCTGTCCTTCAGCGCTTGGTAGGTAGCTTTCTCTTCCATCAAGCCCCACAAGTTGTGGGCTCGACTATGCCGTTTACGTGCGTCGCATTGGTCGCAACACTATCAGTCGACAGTCTGCCGAATCCTAATCAAGCCGTTCAGTACAGGCAGAAGGCATATTATGATCGTGATGCACCATTATGGATTGTATACGACGGAGTGTGAGATCAATCTCTCAACGGTTGAGAGTCTGATTGATGGTGACCGTACAAGTCGATGTTCCGTTAACAGTTATTTTTCCACTGGGAGCATAAGCTGCACGGTCGTAACTAATCTCATCATCAGCATTCGCTCATAGAAGTCTGTACGCGAAACCTTAAATGATCCAATGCTCACCATTCTGGATAATCTAAAATAGGATTTCCGGGTTGGCCGGGAAGAATGAACGGGACACTAGTGTTTGTCAGATTAGCACTCGTTCCGCTATGTGAACGTCATTGAATGATCAGCAGACAAGCAAGGATGACAGACGTACACCAAAGAATGTGCTGACCTCGTTCATGTCAAATGTCAAGTCATATGCCGGCAAAGTGGACACCTTCCAAAGATCAGTTCCCTAGTGACTCTGTCCGCCACCCACTGCTGGGTGTTGTTCCGAAACCAATCAGGGAAAACCTGTCAACAAGTCAGCAAGCCAACCACGACTGGAGGGGATAACGGTAGTGCACCATGTATCCGGACCATACTTGGCCGACGTATTCGAAGCCGTCTGGATTCGTCATGAAGATACCCCTGGGGCTTCTGTCAGCATCAAGGGGCATGACAGAAGAACTTGACAGACTGAGCAACACCGAAGGCGTAAGGAAGGTACTGTCAGATTTGTTAGAAAATGCAACATTGCAGAAGTGATCTCTCACCATGTCGGATTTATTGACCTGTTTGGCGATGGCTGCGTCGACGACAGGGATGTCTGTAATGAAAGATCAGAAAGTGAGCCTTTAACATAATTCGACGGACACTTCTGATGACAAGATTCCTGAGGAAAAATGGTTAATTGAGTAATACCTAAGGAGGACATCATAAAGACGCACTAGCTCCTAAGTTGACAACGGTTATTTACCTTCCAAACGGACGTTGGCTTCTCTCATCTTCTGAACTTGCATTTGTGCATTATTTATGTCGAGATATCCCCATTTGCGTCATCAACGGCTGGTTCTGACGCCACGAATACAGGCATACCTGCATAAGTGAAAGCCAGAAGCCTACACAGGTTGCCACGGAGGCCGACCAACTAGATCGCTGTACTGTCGCGCAACGTCTTGAGGATTCGGACCGGAAAAGAAGTGAAAGTCCAGAACTCCGCCGATTAACTGGTATTGTAGAACGGACAGCAGTGAGTCTTGGGGAGTAAACAGAAGAATATCTCCTCCAGCGGCACTAGTAAAGATAAGTTCAGAACGTTCACGGAGAGACGTTTTACTAACTTAAGGAGTAAGACCTCATGCGATGCAGGCTCACCACCCAACCGATGTTCGAGATATAACGGATGAGTGCCACAACTACATATTCGTCACCAAGTGTCCAGAATATGAAGAAACAAACTTACAGACTCTCATCCACAGATTCGGCTCGATCACGCGCCCACATCGCTTGTATTGTCCCTTTAGTGTCCCGTTTAAAGCCGACGAGGCGATGATTTCACCCAAGCCATATACATTCGCATCCAAAGGTAGCGTCGAAATGAGCTGCAGTAATATTGGTAAGTGTCCAGGAGTAATAAAGGACGGCATACTTGGAGATATTGGTCCTCGAATACTAGAGGGAACCCATCAAAAGCCGTAGAACTATCTCCTGCTAATATTGGCGGAAGTGGTGTAGATGGCAGCGAGGCATTCCTTCCGGCTCTGCTCGCCGGGTAATCAAAAACGCAAATAGAGATGCCCGCGTAGTTGAAAATGAGGTCCGAGGCGTGTTTCCTTCCCTCAAACGTAGGGCGAGCGATGATGGACTCGGGTATCGCGTATTGAGTTCTTAAAGTATCGAAAATGTTGACGTGGAGGCTGAGGATAGTGAAAACGTGGAAAAGAGCAGATATTGGGAACACGCACAGAACTCATAGGTAACCTCAACCGTGAGATGTTCGATATCTCGCCCAAAGGCATTGCAGTAGGATCCGACCATGCTTAGCCGGGCCATCAGTCCATCCGTGGATTCATGCAGCGACGTCAATATGTACCCTATACATAAGTTAGACCGAACATGAGAGAAGAAAGGCTCGTCTCGCACCAGGATAAGAAGATATATTTCTTGAAAGCTCGATATCACATCTCCCAAGATATCCGAGCCAGCTCTGGGCACCCCGGCGTCGTCAGAAAGCGCATAGCCAAGACGCATATAGCCAACTGCCAGCACCCTTTTATACCCGTCTTCTAAGTCGCGGTCAGCTGTCATGCTCCCATTACGATCGTTGCTTTCGCCAGGCATTACATGACGACACGAAAGGCCAGTTGTAAAGATGCAAACTGGTGGATCCATAGGGGAAGGACAGTGGTGATAGTGGTAAAGGAAGAAGAGGCGCCATCATCGCGCAGGGCATCTTGCATTGGAACGATCACGGTCTCTTCCATTCTTCATGGTGCGCAGCACAGAACCCGCCAACAGCATCGTTAAAAACGCTTACATTTGTTCTTTTTGTTGACATGCACGGTCCAAGGACCTGGACCAGTCACCAGCCGCCAGTGGCCCAGTGAAATTGATTTGTGAGTTGTACGCCTGTATCGCTTTTATGGCAATTATTTCTTATTAGAAGGCGATTCTATAGAGTGGACTCCGTACCAGGCTCTCTTGCTTCAATTCTGTGCTACGTAACATTGCAGGCAGGATCGCCTATCCAAGCAACGTTTTTCAGGTTGTGTATATGCAGAGAGAACGAGAGCATTACCTGATGGTAAGTGGTAAGTAGCCTCCCAAGGATACTGTACGCTGACCTGCTTACAGGGCTATAAGGTTCAAGCAAGCCGATTCTATCAAAATGCACCCTTTCCATCGCGTCTGAGCACTCGCTGAGAGCAGTAATAGATGAGATGAGTAGTATGAGCTTGATTCCGGTCATGGTGGGACACTTTAGGAACAGACACAACCATTTCGGTTCCTATTCTCATCCAATCCAATACCACGGAAATACCCTTTGAACCCCAACCTCAATGTTCTATTAAGCGCTCAAGGTCACCTGGCGATGCCTCAATGCCTCGAGGGGTCCATCGTGGCCGATGTCATAATATAGGGCACTTCCCAGGCGCATATCCCCCTTGCGTGAGCCCATAATCCTCAAGACGTCGACGATGTCCTCCGGCGCCCATCTGAAGGAACCTGTACTATATCTCCACGATCTTCCTGCTGCTATCACTGCAGAGCATCTCAGATCTGCTCTGCAGTTAGCGACCATTGTGTTCGATGAAGAATCACGATGCGCTGTCATCAAGTTTCCCTCGATACTACTTGGTTAGATTTACATCGTCCTCTGGTAGATTGCTCTGACAAGAGAATTATCTAGCCAGAAGAGCTATGAAATCCGGCGTCATCTGCTCTGTTTCAGGGACATCCGACGTCACTCTGTCTTTCTCTGCCAGTCCGCCAGAGCGACTAGACGAAACGTCTCAAGCAGCAGCTGAGGTGATATCTGATTTGCATCGTCATTCAGGTCGATATCTGACCCGTTTCCTCTTAGGAACAGTCTGGAATAGATATCATTCCTCCCAATGGTGATAATGAAAGGATAGCGAAACAGGGTCGAGATCCAGACTTCAAAGAGAAGAATGAATGCAGACTCACCGATGTAGGTTGTAATGAGATTTGTTTACCGCATCTCCTTGACAAAGATCCTAGGTTGATCGCGAACAGTCGAGCCATGCTGATCAGTTTGCCGATAAGCCACCAACTCCATCCGTTGCGGACTTCATCGCCGTTCGGCAACTATTGAAGGAAGAACGCGAGCAATCGGACAAACGCAATGTCGATCATGTTCGAGTCCTGAAGGAGAAAGTCATCGAGCTTCAGCGTCAGAATGACGCCGCCGAACTGGAGTTGCAAAGTCAGCGACTGCAGATATCCAATCTGAAACAGAACCCCGACAAACATCTTGCTACAGCCCTGCAGGCAGTTTGCGACGAGAAGCATGGGCTTGAGCAGAAGCTGGTGGAGCTAGGCTTGGAGGTTGAGACGATGAAACTTTGCCAGCAACAGCTCGAGCAGGAACGATCACAATTACTGGATTCTCATGATGCGCTGCAAAGCACCAAGGAGCAGGTGAAAGTGTTGTGCCGCGACTGGGAGGACAGGGAGCGGGAGATCGCACAGGCTAACCGTACGGTTCGGGCGGCTACTGCCAGACACGCACAAGAGGTCGTCGGTCTACAAAGACAACTATGTGTCGTCAATTCACGATGCAAGATACTGGAGCTCGAGAGGGATAAGCTTCTATGGGAAGATGCTCGAGTGCAGAGAGAGGAGAAGGAGCAGAAAGAACGAGAGATGGAACAGAAGCGGCGGGCTGAGTCCATGCGCAAGATGGAGGACGAGAAGCGACAGAAGGAACGACTCAGGACGATGATGGAAGAGCAGGCTCGTCTAGAGCGAGAACGAGCTCAGGCTGAGTATGAAGAAAAGCAGAGGTTGCAGCGGCAGAAGTGGCACGAGGCTACAAAGGCTGAGAAGCGGCGATGCCAGAGGAGGGATAAGGAAAAGTGGAACCTCGAAAGCTGGACGGATTCCCAGGCAGTCGAACGTTTTCTCCTCCTGATGGACGAGTTCGAGACGACTCAATACTCTGAATCGAAGCCGTTGACATCTGCCGGTATACCTTGGCCTGTGCTGGTTAATCCTCGGAAATTCAAGGTGACGGATCTTGATGACTGGCAGGCTGTGGATGGCTTCTTCAAAGTTATAAGGCGCCATCTGGAGAGGCACTTGTATAAGAAGGTGGTAATGAGGGCAAGACAGATGTTCCACCCCGACCGATGGAAGTCGAGGAATCTGTTGAAGTCTGTGATGGATGATTCGGTCCGTTCTTCGCTGGAAGCAGCTGGAAACAAGGTATCTCAAGCAGTTAACGCCTTGTAAGTTCTGCATCTTTTAGTCTCATCTCCGCCAACGAGCGTATTTCGTTTTCAATCATGTACTAGTAGTATTTGTCCAAGCCACTGTAAATGCTTACTATCTACACCGGTATGCCCAGATATTTATAAATTACTTTTGGTAAACAGAATGCCCCAAACAACGCGGTAAAACTGACCATCTTCACGTTTTTCTCTTAGCTATTTCCATTTCGTCGGCCTTGGGTGTCGTTTGTGCTCGTGACAGTGACGTTTACTTTTTCATTCGTTGCACCTTGACTCGAGCTAGGGTTAGGGTTCCGGTCTGTCTTGGCTTCATCTGCCTAAGGGGACTAGGTTGACTGTGACTCCCACCATGACTACTCCTTCTAAATATGAGGAAGATAGCAACACTGACAACGACCCCTTGTATCTCTGGTCGCGTTCTCAGACTCCAGAAGAAAATTTCGATGGTGCTGAAGGCGCAGATGAGCACGGCAACTGGCCTCACGTGGGGTACGACGGTGAGGATAGGTGCGTGGTTTTCATCTTTCCTTTATGTACATTATACTAATCTGTTTTGAACAGGAAAGAGGTGAATCGTATTACGGTTCTCTTTCATTCATACTATGCTCATGAAGCACAGATTCGCGGAGATACATGGAAGCGAGAAGATGGAACAAGTAACACGTATACCGAGAAAGACATACCTCTCCCGTATCTGAAATCATACAGTGCACGACAGCAACAAAAGCGACAAAGGATGGCTCAGGAGTCTCGAGATATTCAGATCTGGTCTTCTACGGATATCATGAATACCCGGAGGCGTTTGCGGGCGCAGGCATATGAGGAGAAAATCGCATTAACAAAAGATGAACCCATTCCGATTTCAGAGAAATTGGCGGCGCTACTTTTTGATAAAAACATTCCGCTACAAAAGCACTCTTCACCTGAAAACACGGACGGCGAGGACTCCGACGTCTCTGGGTCTCTGGACACTGAACCAGACCCTCCGTCAACACCTCCCCCTTCGTCTAGGCTGAGGAATAGGACAGCCAACAACCCGGCGCTGTCCAGACACAGACTTCCAGGCTCAGGGGAAAGAGCACACTCGCCATCCGCGTCGACTATATCGTCGTCATCCAAGAGGAAGGGGAAAGAGAGGGAAGCACCATGGAGTGACTACAGGATGCTTTCGACGTCTTCAGCGTCCGCTGGCGAAGACGGGGCCACTCGGTTACTCCCACATAGGTCCACAAGGCGAGACGGCTCTCTTAACATCCGAGAACTCTCTTCTGCATCGATACGTACTTCCCAGGCAAGAATGATCGGAGCCTCTCATTCTTTCGAGGTCGTCACCAGCGCCGGACCTGCTCAACTCGTCTCAATTGCGCGACCTTTGGCTACACAGACTCCGGCCTCGCAAACCCTATTCACGGTGTTTGATAGCAAGCGAAAGCGATCGTTGACAGCCTCAGAAGCATCCTCGTCGCGGCCTAGGAAACGTCTTGAGAAGCTACCACAAAGGCAAGTTCACATAAATCCCTTCTTGTTGAGTAGCTTAACACAATTCTTATCAAGGCTTTCACAGCGCGAAATTCTGCAACGACATTGGACCCTCGAAGCAGCGAAAGCAGGAGCAGCTTCCATCACGTTCGTTAATCAAGTCGACGACGAAGAAACGCCCGAGCTGGCCATGGATTTCACGTATCTGGAAAGGGAATACGTTCGGTATGTAACCATTCTTCTTCTTCCAGTGATGTATCAACCATTTTCTCAGTGGTGCGGGCATCCCCGACGTCGACGACGCACTGCTCACCGTCTGCATCTGCAGAACGTGCACCCACCCATCTGCGTGCGGTTGCCAGGCTGATTCCGAAGTCAGGAGGGTCAAGCAAAACGGGGAAGAGGTTCAAGTGTTCGCTTATTCCTCCAGGGTGGGAAATATGCTCTTTTCTGGCTACCCCTCTTTTACTGAGCGTCTCACAGGGTTTATTCACCTTCAACGTGGAAAGTCATGTCGCTGTTATCGAGTGCAACAGGGTTAGCAAAAGCTCTATTCGGCTGAGACACCTAACCTCATATGCTTCCAGTTCTGCCGCTGTGATGTAAGCTGTATAAACCGCACAGCCCAGCGTCCTCGTCAAGTCCCTATCGAGGTGTTCAAGACAGAAAGGTATGGCTGGGGTGTTCGCTCGTCAGCTGATGTGGAGCGGGGGAGGGTTATTGGGCTGTATACAGGGTAGGTCGCCATCTCGACTCTTGCTGCTGTGTATTCACTGTGATGCAGGTTGTTAGTGTATGTACATGCGCCGTTGCTTGCTCGTGTACTAATGGTATCCTACAGGCCTCGGACCGTAGCCAACAAGTCATCGGACCAGTCATTTACCTTTGCGTTGGATTTCACAGAAGACGGGAGCGAGCCTGAGGAAGGGACTTACAGCGTTGATTCAACATTGTATGGTGAGATACGTTTCCTCTCTTATCTTTCGAGTTTGGGCTGGCTGACACCCGATGGCGAAAGGAAACTGGACGCGGTTCTTGAAGTGAGTGTTCATGCACCCTGGGACCAGACACGGACGGACAAACATGTTCCCCAGTCATTCCTGTGATCCGACGCTGCAGATATATCAAGTCGTTTATGACACCATCTTTGAGGTATTATTCATCAGCTCTGCCCTTCGTGGTGTTGATAATTCACGCTGTTTCTGCAGATGAGGACACCTTATGTTGCCTTTGTGGCGAAGAAGAAAATACTCGCCGGCACCGAGTTCACGTTTGACTATTGCCCGTCGAGAGCTGTCAAGAAGCGCAAGGGAAGGAATCGGTGCATGTGTGGAGCGTCAAATTGTCGTGGATGGTTGGCTTGAGATTTTCTTGACAGTTTTTTTTTTTCCATCATTATTGGCCAGACGCTTGATTGTTGTATAATGTGTATAGGGAGGTAACTGCTGCATGTTCATAATTCGTGTACAGATATAAAAGACATTGATACTGTCGATATATAATCCTGGCGATATTATGATGGGTGTAAGAAAGTTTGAAGCTGGGTAGGTAGTCAGTCTTCGGCTGTTCGCCAAACATGGAAACTCACATATTCGTCGTAATGGTGGAGCAGTTGACGAAGCTGCTTGCGCGATATTTCAGCGCGATACAAGATCTCATCGTCCGTACGCTTCCCGTCAAAATACTGATTGATGCTGGAACAAACGTCAGCACGATGGCCACCTTTTTTTTTTTTTTTTTTGACTCGGGCAAATGAACCTACTGATCAAATCGCTTAGCGATGTGCGCGTCCTTGCCCTCCGACATAGCTGAGAGCCACTGTCGCTGCAGAGGCGTCGCACGACTGGGGTCCTTGATTATGGACGACGTCAAATCATCGTCATTCGCGTCCCATCCAGAATCCCACTCCTGCTCCTGCTCCTCCTCGAGTTCCTCTGGGTCGTCAGCTTCCACTTGGCCCCTCTCAGATTCAGGAGATAGACGGCGTCGTGAATACGCGTGCGCAGCCTTTGGCGATAAAGAGAGCCACATCATCCCCGGTGCAATAGGAGACGAGGAGTCCGTGTCGGCTTCCTGGGAGAGCTTGCTCAGGCTTCTGTTGGCCTTCTTCGCCCGGGCGTTCTCAATGCGATGCTTGACGCGTAATTTGAGCTCCTTGGTGGCGACTATGCGTACGCGGAGGTGGAGAGTGACGAGCAGGTCGCGTTGGAGCATCCATGAGATCACGCTTTGATACGACGGTATGAGGGCCTTGGACTGGACAACGACGTCGAAGAATTGGGTACCAGATGAGGTCGATATCGCAGAGAGTATTTCGGGAAGAGAAGAAACTGGCTGTTGGGCAAACTCTCTCTCGAATTCCTCCGACAGTTGCGATATACTGCATCAAACCATGTCAGACACGTTCTCGGAAAGACATTGGCATCACGTACGGTGCCGGGAGTTTCGGGGGAAGAATGAACAAAGTCTTCAATCCGGTGTGTACAATGTCGACAACCTTCGCTCGCCGATGCTGGACGAGCCAGCGAACGGTCGGGAACAACTGCGTCTCCAGGTCCCAGTCTAACAGAGTACCCATGTCGGCAAGTCTTTATATGACCGTTAGCATGAAAAAGCGTATCTATCAATGAAAGTTGAAAACTCACGAAAGTGTAATCGAAGCGATCTCCATAAATCTTACAAGGCCTTCAATCAAGTTGTGATCGTTGCCGTCGATGTGAGGTGTTCTGAGGTTCAGGGAGTCATCCAACAACAGCAAACTTTTCCAAGGCGCCAACGCCGGAAGTTTCCAGCCAAAAGCCATTTCAGGTCCCCAACTCTGCCATTCTTCGTCCTCGGGCTGATGGAGATCGTCGTCTTCAGTATAGAGGATTCGATCCAGGAATGGCGGAAGCTGCAGCTCCAGAGGAATATTATTGATCGCGACGTAGGCCATCGAAGACAATTTGACAGCTTCGTAAAGCGTTTTCATGGCCGGCGCTATAGATGAAACTTCCAAAGCCTGGGTCATAAAGTTTGAGAATGGTTCTCCTAATATCTGTAATTTTAGACGCTGGCAGACAGGAACGAGAGGAAACTAACCTTTTGCCATGCAGCTATCCTTGAGCGAACCCAGTTTGTCACATTCTTCCTCGACGAAATTGTGTAGGACTTGTTCTTGAAAAAGGACGGCAGTCATCGTGAAAACGATCTGTTCGTACACAATCTCTATGTACTTCAGATAGTTTCCCGACGTAGAGGACGAAGGATGCGGTAGGTCGAGGACAATTACAAAATTGAAGGTCTGGAGCCAGGTTGACTTGGATGGCGCCTTTTGCTGTAAAACTGGGCTTGTCTCAACATCGGACCCTGGACTTCGTTCCTCCCTCCCTCTAGCGGGGCTCTCGGGTTTGAAGTGCCATTCACCATCCGCGTCATCGCAGACAGGGTGCCCGACAAAAGCGAGATCGTCGACAAGCAATTCGCATTTCTGGTGGCACATGGACCTCTGGGGGCATAGAAGGCCCGCTAGGAAGGATGACGAGTATCCGAAGAGGGCGTTGTATTCATCCTTGGCGGATGTAGAATCTAGATCTTGGGTTGGCGAGTTCCTTCCCGAAGGAGGATGAGATGATGAACGGGTCAAGGAAGTCGACCTGTCGCGCACGGATTGGGTACGTTTCCATGCATATTCGGACTCGTTGATTTGCGCACGGAGTCGAAGGTCCGAAGTATTCTCTGGATATGGACGGCTCAATCTTGGAAGAGACTCAGGATTTGCGGGCCACTGATACACGAGATTCGCCTCTTTTGCGGAGGTCGTCACGAGCAAAATGGCAAGCAGTGTATCTGCCATCCTTCCAGAATGTTGCTTTTGGACAGGCTATAAATGTTTCCTTAGTAACTGTAATGAGATGTCGTAAATTCTGCTCACAGTAAAGTTACATGGAAGTCGCAAAATATGAAAGACGGGTCTCTGTCAACTAGGAAAATATTTAGGAAAAGGAGACACCAATAGATAAAGTAGCGCTTACTGGCATTGGTCTCGTACACCGATTTTACGACGTATACATGGACTTTCAATGCAAGTGGCCGTGACGGTTGCAGTCCAGATTTGTGACGCTACCGGGCCGACCATCCGGCCCTCGAATCGCGTGACTGAAAAAAGTTTAATCATGCAAGCCAGTAAAAAATCATAATCATATCGTGTCGTGGGTATGTGTAAATGTAAAAAAGTACATATGTTTAGTAGGAGATGCATGATAACAATTAAAGGGTCATATCTAGCCTGATAACCAAAGCTTGTAACGAAGAGAGGTCTAGGACATATCCAAGAGATCCTGATATTTACGGTTAACGGCCTGCGAAACCTTATTACCGGCGTCCTCAATAACAGCACGAAGAGAATCGTCCATCACCGTATTCAACAAGTTCCTCGATCTCCACCGGTCTGGATGGAACGTCTGCCGAGTCCTAGAAATAAGATCCCTGTACGCATCAAAAGGAAGAGATCTCCTCGCACGCTCAAAGAACTTGTCGGCCAGCGTCCAATCCTCCAACATACCCACATAAAATCGGTTCGGACCGATCAAAACAGGCCAAGGCACTCCCGAGGGCGTCAGGGGTTTAGACTCGGAGAATTGGGTCGTCTCGAATTCTTTCAAGACGAATAAAAACCGATTTATCGCCTTCTGGTAGGACCACAGTTGACCGAGCGAGAGGTTCCAATTCTCCTCGTCTCGTCTACGGCATCGTTCTTCTTCTGCCGTCGTCGCCTCGCGCCATCTTGTTCTCCGTTCTCGCTCTCGACGCTCTCGTTCCTCCCGTTCGTTCTGGATAGCGCGTTCCTCCGCTGCCTTCTTCTGCCTTTCTTCCTCAGCAGCCTGCTGCTTCCGCTGTGTTTCTTCCTCCAGCATCTGCTGCATCCTCTTCCTCGACGCTTCCAGTTCCACCTGACGTTGAGCCTCCATCCGTCTCGTCTCCTCCTCCTCCTCTGCTTCCCTCTCCTGTCGAGTGGCTTCGTGCCGTAGCTGAAGTACCTCTTGTTCCAGCACTTCGCATTTCCCATGAGCAGCTTGAAGCTGCTCGTTCAAATCGGAAACCTGGCCCTGAAGATCGGAAACTAACGCCAGAGCATCGTCCCTTTCCTGCTCCCTCACCCGAGCGCTCGTTTCCGCGGACCGAACACGCTCATACTCATCCCAAATATCCAGAGCCAAAGCTTTACCCTCCGCCTTCTCCTTCTCCAAAACGGAGATCGCATGACGCGCGATCACGTTCGCCGCTAGCGCACTATCTCGTTCCGCTGCCACACGGGAGGATGTCTCTTCGGCGGCAGCATTGATCCGAACCACCAGGTCCTCCATTTCAGAACATCTCCGCCGTAACTGAGTGTGGGTATCGGCAAGACGACGCTTCAGCCGGGATTGTTCCGACTGCTCTTCCTCAAGCTGTGCCTGCAACATCTCCCTTTCCCTGGCGGCGTCCAACAGCCTCTGCTCCAGACGAAGACGCGCAGCCTCGGAGCTGTGCAGTTTCAGCTCGATCTCGTTCGCGGCCTCCTTCAGGATATCAAACCGGCCCTTCCAATTAGCACGCTCCACCCGCAAATGGACCAAATATTCGTTTCGACTCTGCTCCAACGCGTGTTGAACCTCTTCTTCTAGCTGACCATTCTGGTGATGGAGAATATCAACCTGCTCTTCGAGCTCTGCAGCTGCTTTCAGATCGAAGGTGTGGGTGTGGGTGTGGGTTCGTCGTTCGCGCTGTGCAACAACAGGAGATCGTGGGAGAGTGGCGGTTACAGAACCATGGCTGTGGTCAAAGAAACTGTGCTTGGCATCGGGGGATGTCCTTCCCGATTGGTCGAAAGAGCTGTTGTACAGGGTGGATCTGTCGTCGCTCTCAAGGGACTAAAAAAAAAAAAAAAACATCGTTTTCAGCCCAAGAAACATGCTGCAAGGTGCAATCCAACATACGTCGAAAGTCGTCTGTGAATCAGATTCAGACTCGCCATCGTCTTCGGAGCAAACGTATGGAACTTCCACCACCTCCGTGTCGTTCTAACAGACAAGAGTTGAGCAAAGACACCCAGCGACTACTGACATGACCAACTAACTCACCGTAACGTCCTCCTGGACCGACGCGTCCTGTCCACCAGTGATAGCCCAGTCACAGACTTGCAAAAGTATCGAGTCGCGGTCAGCTAACATGGCCATGATGAACACTCGAGGCTACTTTGAGTACAGGACAACTTACCAGAAACCAACAACGATCGTGTGCGAACACGTTCGGATCCACGTTTGATGACGGTAGCGAGCTCTCTGGTCAAAGACCTGATATCGGCATACATGAGCAATAGTTGGGGGGGAAGGGGGGGTTAGTAAAAGTGCTATGGGGGTATCGTTAGAGTCGAATGATGAAAAGTGAACAAGAGATAAATATGGCACTGACAAGTCAACAAACGCGCGCGGCAGCCGAACAAACACCCTTGTGATCTTGCTTGACTGCCCCCCGCATGACGCACGGAGCCAACGCGGCGTAACATAACCTAACACAATGTGCTCAGTTGCTGTGGAAGGCTGAGTGAATCAGTCAAATATGCCAAATAGGGTCGATTGCTACACTCTGGCCCGGGCATCGGCAAGATGGAAACACTGTCCAAAGGTTCAGTTAGGAATACAATGGCCATTGAACAATACGATAGTACATTTATCCTTTGGATATAAGCTACAAAGAGGACTTCAACTTTATAGATACATTTATCGTAAGAATAACCAAAACTACTCCACTGACGAACGACGCATCTACTCTGTAGAAACCATCGCGTTCACGCCAATCTGCTTCAGAGCCATGATAGCAGCCGACGTCACGTCCTCATCAATCAAGCCGATCTTATCAAGATCCAATGCTTCGCCCCCCCCGCCACTCAAACCCAGGATGTTCGTCATTGGGCATGAGCCTATTCCCTAGCACTCAGGATCGTCATCTCCATCAGCATCCGCATCCGACCCATATTCCATAACTCCGGAGGAATCTATCGTCCGAAAGGGCATAAACAAGGGCGCCTGCTGTCCGACGAACCTCCTCTTCCGAGTCGTCTGAGTGTCCTTGTTCACCACTTTGGTCGCAGGATCCACTTCTCTCAACAACGGATTGGTACCTAGCCCCCAGACAGGCTGAATCTCCCCAGCGAACACTCTGGAACGCTGGACCAAGAGCGTATTGGAACTCCCATCCTCCGCGGTATATGCCGTCCCAACTTTCTCCCCAGAAAACCCGTAGATAGTACCCCAGAATTTCACTGGACCCTGCTTACGTTCACTGAGCGGAGGTATAGTAGTCCGACCACCGAGGATAGAAACATGTGGAGGGTCGCATTGTTGCACATGACGTTGGCGCTGGTGCTGTGTACGAGCAAGGACGTGCGACGAAAGTGCGCTGTGATCTGCACTACGTTCTTCCGTATACATTCCCTCAGCGTCCCTAGCCCTCCGTGACTTGAGTGATTTTCGCCCAGAACGTGAATATGAAACCGACGTGCGATCCGCTTCCACTGTACGCGTTGTGGGCAGTGCCCGCTTGGTGGAATCAACCCTCGTTGAATGATACACCTCGCCTCTAGCCCTGGTGCAGATATCACATGTGCACGTATTGTTACACTTCGGACAAACGAAATCTTTCGCATCGGCATCAAATTCCAAATTGTCGTACCTGAAAAGAAGTCAATGGGCCACCCATCTGCTGAGAACGATCGACCCCCACCTTATCTTAATGCACCTGACACAGTATGCCTTCCCGCACCCGCAATACACGGATGCTCGAAACGAGCGGTTTCTGCACTGATGGCAAAAGGATTCCTTGTCCATCATAGGCCACTCGGATCTCTTCCCCCGGACGGGAGGGCCCACTTTCACTGGAAACGTTTTTTTCAGCTTTGGCGATGGAGGAGGTTCGAGAGGGATCGGATCAATGTACGGACAACTGCTGTCTTCAAGGGAAGTCAAGTCCGACATCTCCGATTCACCCAGCATACCGTGGAATTTTGGCTGGTCCGCTGTGACGGTGGGACATTGCGGAGATGGTAAAGGATGCATTTCTGCTTCAATTTGAACGGGAGTGGAAGGTGGGTTTGGTAGACATGACGGCGACAGCGACTTGTTCTTGGGAGGAGATCCCCACGGCGACGATGACAGCGACGAATAGTCCATAAACTCAAAACCACTCAAAAGAGACGGGTCGATAGTACCATTGTGCAACAGTTCTGAGTCCTCTAACCGATGGCACCGCAAACCAAGAGTGGAATCCTGCAAACGCGAATTGCCTTGGAAAGAAGAATCGTGGAGGGGACTAAGTAGCTGCTCCTTTGCTTGAAACGACGTCGAGGAAGGGAAAGAAGTAGCTGAATTGTGAATAGGAAAATGTTGTACAAGGGGAAAATACATCGCAGGACCAACTTGTGGCTCCGATAGACCTGTGTGGGGATCATGGGAGACGGAATGATCGTCTTCGAGGTATACATAATTGTTGTCGAGGTTCGTATCGATATCGTATGCCGGAGAAAGCAAGATGTCCTCTGCAGGGACGGTGGGAACGGCTCTTTGTTTGCCTCTGGCCTTTGCAGACATAGGCGGGGGTGGGGAAGTCCCGACGTCGACTCCAAGTCCCGATTCTGCCTCAGGATCATGCCATTCTATATCTTTGGCAACAGTATCGCCATCCAGCCGTCTCCGGACGAACTGCAGGTTCATAGACAAAGCTTCTTCGGTAACGGTATCGGGATTATCGTTTTGCATGGAGTATTCATAGATCCCCTCGCGGGCATCGATGGGGCGCACATGCTCCAGAGTATCATCGTAGTCAACTGAGAAAGTCATGACTGGTTCCTGGTCGGGGCTGAGAGACTCCTCGATGGTCTTCGCGCGACAGTTGACTGACTTCATGCGTGCCTCAACTGAGTGTGTTCGCGACCTGACGGACTCCATTCGCTTGGAAGGCTTTGACTTGACCATTGGTTTCTTCGGCAATAGATCCCAGATAACGCTCGCCCTCCCGCTCACATCTGGACACGGATTATACTCGTCCACGCCAATAAGCACCTCATCCCTCTTTCTCTTCTTTCTCGGCGGCGGCGGCGAAGACATACCCTCGATTGACAGTACACTCCGGTTTCTGGGTGATGAGCTAACTTCGGCTTGTCTACTTGGACTTGGTTGCACCACCGCTGAGATCTCGTCCTGAGAGCTATACGTTCGACTTTGTGGGCGTTTGCGTTTTATCATGAGCGGACGAAAGCTACTGCTGTAAGGGCCGTTCACCATCTGGGCTTCCTCCTCCTGGTAAGCGGTGCGAAGCATTTGATGCTCTCGTATGAGGTCTACTGCTTTGGCTTTGGCTTCCCTAGGGCCCCTTGAAACTGTCACGGTCCTACTGGCATCCTGGTGATGAGATAAGGGTGGCATCGCAACGTGGGACATGAGAATTCGACGACGCTTCGGAGGGGGCGAAGGTGTGAAGAGTGGCGACAGATAAGAAGGTGAAGTAGGTTCGGGAGTGAAGAGTGGCGACAGAAAAAAAGGTGAAGTAGGTTCGGGAGTGAATAGTGACTGCGATAGTCGGTCTTCGGGAATTTGAATGGATGAGTCCTGGGGATCTTGAGAGAGGAATGAGGCAGACATCTATTATACTTTGGATAAGGGCGTGTCTAAGGTGTTACGAGACACGTACATTGGATTTCGTTATGGCCACCACATCGTCTGCTGCATGCGATGACATGTTCTATCCGACATCGGGTAAGCAATCCTAGTTGTTCCAGAGGGAAAAAAAAAACAAGGAAGACAGACCTGCGGAATGAAGCTCGCAGCTTCTTCGTCATTATGAAGAAAGCAATTATCCTCGGCAGGAAAGTTGGTCGTTTGCATTGCTACTTGTGAATCATATATTGACGGATCGACTTGCGTGGTGGCTGGGTAGAACTAGACGACGACTTGAGTCCAGGTGACGGGAGGACGAAAATGAGGGCATTACCGGTGAGTACCACGAAGAGGGTAAACTTGGTGAAGCCGTCAAATAACTATACGAAGGATACGATGCGCTGTAAATATTTCTGGATGATTGCGACTAGACGCGACGTGAGAAATCAAAATAAATACTTAGGGACGCCACGTGCCTCGTTGATCCCGCTAACAGGTACAGTTTGCACAACGTCATTGACAGTGACAAAAGTACCCTCGATACCATTATATGGGGGATGACAACGCGACATGGATCCATAATAACCAAGGGCGTTGGCACTATTTGGCCCCTGAAGTGAAGAATGGTCTGCATCTGAGTGTTTTTGATCCGTTAAACTACCATCCCAATTCGACAGTGAGGATCCGGACATCGCTGTTGTCTCCAGCGAGGTCCCGACCAGCCAAAGTCGAGTCGCGGAGGCGTCTTAGTGAGAAGGTGAAAAACGCCTACCGACGCGGGTGACTGGTAAAATCATAGAGTTTGTTTCTGTTGGCAGGGCCACTCCATCTTGCGGGCATCACATGACCAGTCCGGTTGGTCCCAGACCTGTCTAACCTTTCGTTCAGGTGAATCAGTATCTAACACTTATCATCCGCAGATGAGAAAAACGAGAAGTGATAGAAGGCATTTTGGAGGTTCCTTTAGTTAGGATATGTTGAATTCTCCAGTTCCTGGGGTCAAAGATGATGATTCGTGTTTAAGCATTGTCCTGTAACCCCTAGTTGATGCAATCTTCGAATGACATCAGTTTCACATGATCTGAGCCGCGTCGCGTCCAACTTGGAAGTTGCCAGCGCGCCTGGTGTTCATATGGCTAAGATGTGAACAATGCAGATAAGAAACTGATTAAACGGAGTGAAATAATGTACGGCCCGCCTATGAACTAAGCTTGATGCGATGAAGAGCATATTAGAATGCAAACAAATGAGTGGGCCAAGCTCGGTTCTCATTTTATTTGCTAAGGAACGGTTTATCGTCGCCATAAAATTTGATAAAAATGAGAGGGAACAAGGATCTCAAAAGGAAAAGTGGCAGAGCTTCAAAATTTCGGTATTTCATTGATAGCGAAGTCTTGCCGTGTCTGGCAGCAAATCAAGATTCGATAACAGCGCAGAAGCATATGAAAACAAACCCATCCCTGTGTTACACCACAAGTTACTGTAAGTTACAGGTAGTACTACTAGTAGTACTGAACGGAAGGCCTCTAAGACATATAGTCGCCGTCCTGTTAGAAGGAGAAGGATGGCGGCGTTTCATCGCTCGTTGGCGGCCCAGGACTGCGATTGTTACCAATCAACTTCCAAATCCCTGATATCTACGTGGACCCTTTTACTTACCTATTCACCCAGATACTGTCATCTCACTCTGTTGTTAGTTATCACCGACATCGCGGAGAAAGGAGTTCAGGAATAAACGAATCCTTTCAATCTGCACTTGATAGTTTCACGGATATCGACGTCGTGGTCGCCAGGGAAACATCGTAATCCTCAGGTGCCTTATCGAACTGTGTACACGGAGGCAGGAATGCAGCGTACACTTTCAATTCCGAGTCTCGTCCATGCCTGTTCATGCCTGGATGATCCTGATTTGATAGTAAAATGTCAGCCGCTGAGAACTTGAGCGCAGCTTTGCGTACCCAGTGCGTACCTTGAAGCGGGATGCCGAAACAAGGAAAAGAAGGCACAAGTCCACGGGTCCTGCATCCATTTTTGGTAGTTTCTTTTCCAGTTCTGTTTTGCGGAAGAAACAGGCTAGTAAAACATTTGGAAGATTTGACAGGCAACTAATGTGCGCAGTAGACTGTCACGACTGCTTTAGGAGTGCTGCACAGGCCTTAGCATGGTAATCATCGGCTGTCGCGCCCAACCACACAAAATCTTTCGAACGATAATCGAACAGTAACGGAACCGTTCGGTTTTATGTGACACTGACGGGGCATCAAAGGCTTACAATACAAGACACGCGCCTTGCCTTCTAAGTATACTCCGCGCTGTCATGATAAAATTGCTCCGGATATGGCCTCCGTAAATAACGATACCCCTCTTCAGTTTAATTTGGCGTGATAGAACCCCTTAACACTCATTCCCCCTTTCCCTCCCATCTGTCCTCCGTTTTTTGTTCAGTATGCTACGAGTTACTCCAACTCATCGTAGGGCAAGCCAAGGGCGGCAAGTGGCCATCATCACGGTCTTTACTCTCTTTATTATTGCCGGCGGATTCTGGACAAATCTCTACGGATCGCATACCACTAATATAACATTCAAGACTTTCATCGAACCCGTTGCGGTAGAACACGCCAAACCCGTGTACCATTCGTGGGGGAATTTCGGAGGTCTAGGAAACTTGCAGCACAACGCAGCGGACAAAAAGATCGCAGCTGAAACAGGCAGTCTGCCCATGCACAAATTCTTGTCGAACGGGCTGCTTGAAATGAATCCAGAGGGCCCGCATCCTATCTACCAGCTCATCGAATTTTCAGAGAAGAAGTGGGAAGCCAAGCTGCAGCGTGCGAGTAAGACTCTCAACGAGGCAGTGATCGAATACGAGCGCCGATATAAGCGAGCTCCTCCTCGTGGATTCGATAAATGGTGAGCGCTTCCCCTTTTTTTCACTTATTCGCAATTAAGCTTGTGTGTGTACGTAGGTGGGAATATGTTGAGAAGAACAACGTTCAGCTTCCAGACGAGTACGACCAGATATACCGAGACCTCGAGCCTTATTGGGGCGTCAACCCGGTCGATCTAATCAGGATCGTCAGAGAATGGGAGGGTCACGAAGACTCGTTTACTTTTGGTAAAGAGGAAGGACACCGTGCCGGACTTGTCAACTATACCATCCGCGACTCCAGTACTCACGACCGCGTCTTTGATGGTACCCGCATGCTTAGTGAACTACTCGAAGACGTCGACGATTTCCTGCCACCCTTCCGCGCCGTCTTCCAGCCGCATGACAATCCGGAGCATGCTACGGACTGGGAACTCCGGGAGAAAGCCCTCGAACACGCTCGTGCAGGGACTTGTACGTCATCCTGCTTTATTTTATTTTTTCCCTTTGCCAAGCTAACGCTGTCTACAGATATCGATGTCGAGCATCCCGTCGTTCCTATCAAGTATCACGGATGGATCTCAGGCTGCGACCCAACTTCGCCCGCCTGGAAAGATCCCATCGACTTCAACTTCAATGTATCCTGGCCGCCCCCGCCACCAGACGCTCCTAAAACCTTCGTCTTCGACCACAGAAAGACAATGGATCCCTGCCTGCATCCACACCTCCTTCGCGAACACGGCCAGTTCCTCCCCTGGGGAAAAGGCCCTGTTCCCTCCCACCGAATGTTCCCCTCTTTCGCCTACTCCCAGACTCTCCTGCATCATGACATCACCATCGCGCACATGGTCAGCTGGCTGGGAGAGCTCTCCGACGAGGAAGACATCGTATGGGAGAAGAAGACCGATGATCGACTGCAGTGGCGAGGCCGCACGACGGGGATCTATCACAATCGGGACCTGGAGTGGCCCCTTTCGCAACGCATACGGATGATGGACTGGGTCGAGAAAGGCATGGATGATAACGTGAAGATTTTGGCTCCACCGACTTCGAAGGATGACCCAGTGGGGAAGGGCCAGTTGGTTCCGAAGGCGAGGTACGGGCCGGCGATGCTCGACATGGCGTTCTCGAACGATCCTGGACAGTGTGATCCTGAGGTTTGCAAGGTCTTGGCCACGTTGTACGAGTTCACGAAAGGGCAGTCACAGACGGAGCAGGCAAGGTACAAGTATATCTTTGATGTCAGTGGTCGTGTTTGGGTTTCCGTTTTCCTTCGTTGCTCAATCAATCTCTTCTATGTAGGTCGACGGCAACGCATGGTCCGGGCGTTTTAAACGGCTCATGTCCTCTCACGCCCTCATCTTCAAGTCGACTATCTATCCCGAATGGTTCGTGACTCTCTCTGACCACCGTGCCGTGCCTAGCTAAACTCACTCTGCGTTCAGGTTTACGGACAGGCTCATGCCCTGGGTCCACTACATCCCCATACAAGTTGACTACTCCGATCTTTGGGACACCCTCGTGTTCTTCCATGGCGATCTGAAAGGAGACAACAACCACGATGATCTCGCAAGAAAGATTGCTTCCGCAGGCCGGGATTGGAGTCACACTTTCTGGAGAAAGGAGGATATGACAGCGTATAATTATAGGTTCGTATCCTCAGTCTCATTATTCTGCCGGGTCCGTGGCTGACTGACGGCTACAGAGTGTTCCTGGAATATGCCCGTGTTATGAGTACGGATCGCGCCGCGATGAGCTATAACCATTGGGAAAAGTCGGAATAGACATTTTTTTTTTTTCGTTAAGGGATTTTCATTTGTTGTTTTCTTTACTGGCCCAATCATTTGTACTCACAAGCACCCACTGCATATAGACCGTTCGTTACCTACCTTAGGCCTATAAGAGGCTGATTACGTTACCGTAATCCTGTTGTAAAAGATATACAATCGCTTTATGTGGATTATCTGACCTTGGGGAGGGGGGAAAGTGTCGCTAGTAGCGATTGAAAAATTGAATATCGAGATGATCGACAACTAACACTGTCCAACGTTTTTCACTGGATCGAGATCACTTATGCATGCACCACTCCACTACATCGAAAAAGAAACAGATGAATGTCAACTTGAGCTAGCTATACGACAATATTAATCATAAAAATAACCCGAGGAACCAACGTTGTTGTGGTAGGCCCGAGTCGCGCAAATTTGGCGAAGACGATGATGATGCATCATCCAACATCCACCTGCTTGAACCTAGATCAATGAGGAAATTTTTTCACAATGATCTTCCGAATTCTCAGGTACACTGACAAACAGAACGGGAGGTAGACATAGTACTAGAGCCTTAGTGGCAGAGAAGCCTACAAAACATGGTACAGGAACTCGATAAACAAGTGATCCATACAATAACCGAAACGTTAATCTGACGTTCCGAGTCCGACCGTAGTGAAAGCAAAGCGTGTAGTTATCACACCTGACGGCATGGTAACATTCATTCAGTGCGTCTCGCTGAACAGAGAAGCAAGCTCCACAAAAGACTGCACCACAACGTCAACTTCGCCGCCCTCCGAACTTGGTTTGACCACGACATTCTCAGGAGCTTCTCCAGGTCTCTGGACGTAGACCGTCTTCATCCCAACCGCCGCAGCGGCGCGGAGGTCGTAGATGTGGGCCGCAACCATAGCGCACTTCTCCGGTGGGACGGAGAGGTGTTTGATAGCGCCCAGATAAGCTTCCGGGTTCCTAATTAGCGCGCGTCAGCCCGAGCCAGCGAGAACCCTGACTTTGAAGGGCGTGGGGACGTACGGCTTATAGCACGAGAACAGCTCGGCCGACAGAACCAGATCCCAAGGAAGGTTCGCGTGCTTCGCCTGCGAAGCCCTCGTGAGTACGTGAGCCATGTGAGTCGAGTAGAAACCCCCCACCATGTCTACCAACAGTCTGACATTCCCATTGGATAATGTCGTGAGAATGACGTGCTTTTTGAGCTGGTAGAGGCCCTCGACGGTATCAGGCCATCCTATACAGACAAATGGGGGTCAGGTGCAATTCCTCAGCGGCACTGATTTCGTCGAGTACGAGCCATTGAGGCGGTGCCAGACGAGGTTCAGGTGAGCTCTTGTCTGCTCGTCTAGCTTCGAACCGACGGGCGCCCAGCGTGGCGAGCTCAGCATGTCGTCCAGAATCTAGCAAGGGTACAATGTAAGCTCTCGTAGCGCAGCAGCCCGGGGCAAAGAAGGAGAAAAACACCTGTCTGTGCAGAACGTCAACATTCAAAGGACCGCTGCCGGCTCCTTCGCGGGCGATACGGGATCTATACGGATCAGTTATCAGGGAAGGTAAATAAATCATTGAATGGGGGGAGCACACGTATTTGTCAAGTATCCTTTCCGCCATTCGGTGGCGAAGGCATCCCAGTCGGCTGCGAGAGAGTGTTCGAGCGACCATGCGAAAGATGGTGATTAGTCCTCATAACGCACCGTTTAAAGCCAGGTTTTGTCCCAGATCTTTTAGTTCCGCGCATACAGATCCATGCCAATCGACAACGGTGCCAAAGACATCAAAAACAAGTGCTTCAATGCCCTCCATACTGGGGCTGATGGATGTGGGTGAGTAAGGAGATTCGGCTCCTCGGTCCGAATTTCGAATAGACTGAATTGCATCGGATCCATCTACTAACACGGACCGTTACTGTCATGTTGCAACCTGCCGTCTATTCCGATATCCTGGCCCGATGACCCTGCTTTATCCCCAAGTATTTACTTCGAGCGGTTCACACGCATCTGGGAGCCTGCACCAGTAGAACCTCCGGAATGACGGCCGTCCAAACCATTCTTTGGTTGGGAAATATGGTCATGAAGTAGTGGCAGAATTGTTACGACACGCTGGATTCGTCTCTATCAGAGATCCAAGCCTCGCTATCTATGTGGAGTATGTTTTATTTCGTCCTTGACAGATATTATCTGAAACATTTCAGGACCGTGTCAGTCACACTCACAAAATTTGGCGAGATGTCTGGCGTTGCTGCCAAATATCAAGACCTTGCAGATCTTCGGGCTTGACTTTGAAGGCGCCGAGACAAAGCTTTCTGTAGCTTTCGTGCTCCATGAGGGTGTTGCGCTATTTTCCAGCGTCCCAAATGTCCGCGACATCACATTCTTCACTCATTGGCATTACATACCACACCAAATATTGTGCTCGGTCCTCCCCTCATATAGAGCGGCTGAAATTCCGAGGGTCTCCTACAAAATTGGATAGTAAAGGCACATTATGTTTCTTCTGCGAACAGTTATCAACTGATCCTCAACTCATTGCTCAGGGCTCACTCATAAACTCGTAGATTTTCCCTGACTGGTGTAAAGCGTTCGGTATTCATGTTCTGCTGACATATGAATATCTTCTGAGGTATGCATATGGTTAAGATGTTACCGATATTGCATAATATGGGCATGGTGGGTCGTGCTAGTACATCGCGTTCGGTCGTGGTTGAAGTTGCTATCGGTCTACCGTCCCGAAGCCCCGCGAACGCATACCGGCCGGGGAGATAAGATAACAGACGCGCTGATAAACTATCACGTGAGCGAGACGCGTACGGCATGTCACACCAGCCTTCTTCCTTTTCCTTACTTGCATATTCTTCCTTTTCCCTCCATGTTCTCTTGGCGGTGCTCCCGGATTCCTCTATCTCGGTCCCGTACGAAATCACTAGGCTCTATCAAAGAAGAGTCTGGAAGCCTTGAGGACGAACTATCTTCCGAATCTAATGAAGACGACGGTGCGATAGAATCCGATGGCAACGACTTTTCTGCACCAGCACAACGTTCCTCATCACAGATGACGTCATGGTGCGACGACTTCTCTGATGCCCTCCAGTACCTCTTGGAAATGGAGGAAAAGAGACACTCCGGATTTTGTACTTCCATGATTCGACAGCCGTCTACCGAACACTCATTTTTACGCTCATTTCCTCAAAATATTCTCCCTACCGCTACACCCAGCATGGATCGCAATTATTCTTTCTCAGCCGTGAGCCCTGCTTCGCATATCTATTTCTCGCCAGGATCAGAAGGCAATACAAAACGTCCACGGGAAGACGCTCTTGAAGACATTCGTAGTCCCAAAAGGATTCAAAGTTGTCGCAGCCGGTGTGTTGCACCTATTTTTCCTAGCGTTCGTACTGACGTTGTCTGTATCAGATGCTCTACCATTACCGATGAAACGACTCCTACGTACGTCAGCAAAGCCTTGTCTTTTTCAGATCTCATTGTTATATGAAGGTTTAGAGGCTGGAAGCGCTCTCGTTCTGAACGAAAGGATCATGATATGCCTTCTCCGAGGAAGAAGGCCCGACCAACTCACCGCTCATATTCAGTTTCCCAGCCAGCAAGCCTACGTCGCGCGCAATCACTCCGAGCTGACACTTTGTTGTCTTCTTCCTCATCCGGCAGCTCTGGGTCGACCTCAAGCACATATGTCCGTATCATATATATCTTGCGGAACCGGGACTCATATAGCCTTTTAGACGCGCATCATCACACCGACTGGCACTTTTCATATTCCTCACCTCGGGAACTCACCCCCTGATCCCGGTTGGATACCGACAGCACCATCATCGCCGGAACCTGTGCCTGTTCAGAGGAACAACTATGTGCATCTACCACCGGAGCTTTTTCTCCCTTCAAGGTTCGGTGTTACACGTCCACTCCTTCTGCCCCACCAGAACAGAAGAAAAAGAGAAGGAAGAGATATGCCGCATGAAACCGAGTCTCTCTTGAGGTAGAGAGGGCCGTGATTTGGTCGTGTAGATCTTCGCCTTCATGGCGTCGCAAGGTGGCCTACGATTCATCAGTGAAAAGGTGTTCATTAGCAATGATCGACATACCTCAAGAATCCATCCTACAACTTTCCGCCGCAACTTCTGGCCTATGCCGATGGCGTTCTCCCAATCATCAAATGTGGAGGTTTGATTACGGCATCCTAGTTCCCATATTTGATGACGCTGATGCTCCCGCAAAACGTACAGTTGTAACCGACGTTTAGCCTGGGCTTCGGATGACAAAGCCAGCATCGCTGTGTGATCTGACGGAGGTGCGATAATGGGGACGGGATCCCTCCGCAAAGAAATGTGATGGTTTCGAGGATACGGTGTGGGATATGGCCGTCGGTGCCGTTGCCGTTAGCATCAAGGTAGGCGCTGTTGTATCTTCGGTTTTTCTTTCCGTCACTGATGCCTTTTCTAGTATCACCGGGACTTTCTCCCACCCCTCCTCCCTGTATATGCTTCCAGCTTGCAGGCCCTCGCACCGCACGAGATAGGATTTGATGATTTGGATGTATGTTTGCTCACATTCTGTTTATTGTCGCACTGATCTCCATTATAGGATGCTCAAGCTGACCTTCTATCTGCCGTCGGCTACGTTCTTGGCGGGACGCCAGTAGGTGTCCTCGATGAGTTGTTAGATGCGCTGCCCTCGCTACGTGAATTGTTTCCAGACGAAGGTGAATGGAGCTGGGTGTTGAGAGAGACCTGGAGGTCTTTGATGATTTGTATACTAGGTCCGTTCTTCTCTTTCCTTGCGTTCGTGCTCTGATGCTACGGTTTATATAGAGCCTGACATCCTCAACTTCCCGATATCCCTTCTTTCAGTGTCAGCGGTAAGCGAGGCCGTTTTGGATGTTTTGTTGCACCGGAAGGTCAGCAGTCGTGACAAGTACAAGGATAAGTGGCGAGAGGAGGCTGAAGAGGAAGCGGAGGGCATACTGTTAGATATCCAGAATGTCCTGGGTATCGGAGAGGTTAGTTTTGGTTCTTTTGAAGCGAGCTTCTTACTGACGAGAAAGGCAGAGGTCGATGCATGAATGCCGGGAATGGATTGTAGGGGTGAAAAGGGATTGGTGTGAGCTGTAAGGAATTGCTATTGCTTCCTTCCTTGCTTTATCAGGGACATTTTCATATTTTTCATGACTTTCAGATGGATTGTATTATTTTGGGATGTGAGAAGCTTATCATTGCTTTATGGAAACGGTCGCTATAGACTAATGTTGTACTTTCATGTAAACGTACTCGTATGCAAATGCTATATAATTGCGGCACGGGGAATGAGATAAAGGGAGGATCTGAATGAATCACCTAAACCCGACCGCCTTGGATTCACTACTTCTTAATAACCATGGATGCAATTCTTGCGACGATCCTCTCTCTATGACGCGTTTCGGTCATTGTGCGGCTCCCATATAAAAAAAAGGGTGCTTCACTCATTCCATACCCTTTCCTTTCTCCGACGACGACCCATCTCTTTGCAGTTGGGAAAAAGGACTCGCGATCCGGCCTTGTAGCTGTTTCTCCTCTCACCATCTGGAGGAGTCTCTGTCGTTCGAAGGACATGCGGTTCCAGACTGGAATTTAGAGTTCAAGTCAACCCCCCGTTGTGCCTGGTGGCTATTTGCAGTGGGTCCCATCATGTGACCGTTCAGCTGAATAAGCATCTTTTGGAAGACCTGGAGCCCGGGCCCAGTGGTTCCAACGGCACCGACTATCATCTTCTGCAACAATACAACCGTTCTGCGTCATGGTGTAGTACAACGTACGGATATCCTCCAACAATTATTGGAAGGCGGAGCTCTGGGTTATTAAGCGTGACGGCATTTGTTGGCAAGTGCGAGCGCGAGCGCGGCTGGCTTGATATATTGGTCGAGAACGCAGGGATGATAATACTTGAGGAACTAATCCCCTGTGTCCGCGATAAAAGTTTCATTTGAAGGACAAAAGGAAAATCGAAGCTCAAGACCGCTTCTTCAGTCGATGTGGCGGCCAGCGAAAAGAGTCGCCTTGCTTAAAGCCACTATTTTCTACGGCTCTCATAGCACAAATTTTATTCTTATCAATTGTAGGCAATTCGGTTCGATTCTTTCTTCGTGCCGCTAATCAGAAACCCAAGCATACCACTTACTGCACTTGAGATTACGATGATTACGATCGTTGTATTCGGGACCTACGATGACACCAATTATACCCGTCAGTCGATGGTAATCACCTGCGTAACGACGCCCTCCTCTTCAGTCTTCGGTCTACTTCTCGGTCGTGCGGGTTGGCCGCAAAATATTCACGATTTGCGGATCTCTACCTTATCTTAGGCGTTGCCGAGGATTGCCGGAACCGGGTCCGGGAAGCATACTTGGTTTTGCCTCGTTGTCGCAACGTGGACAGCACTCCTTGCTTCCAGCCTCCCCGTCTTGTTTCCCAACATCGAGACAATTTCACACCATAGCCGGAAACACATAGCAGCTGTACGTATATGTCGTTTAGGTCAATGTTTACACAATAGTAATCACCCTGATTGTAGTCGATATGCCTCATAATTGCTCAAAATGCGGTGCGACGTGTGCAGGTATACCGTTGGTTAGACCTGCTCCAGATCCTGAAATAAAAGCACTTCTCTCCACCAATTTACCACCGTCTGAGGCGCAAAAGGCGTTCTTCAGAGAAACACGGCGGACTAGTGAGTCGCGCTTGGCCGACCTTGAGGCACGTATCGCCGATGCGCAGGCAAAGTTGGATGGGCTATTGCAGGAGCGGGATAGTCTGGTTTGGAACATGCAGCGCTGTACTGACGTCTTGAACCCCGTTCGTCGTTTGCCTGTTGACGTCTTACGTGAAATATTTGCACACACCATGAGGGTGGCCAAGGATTCATATTCCGTCAATTCAGGGATGCTCTCGTCGAGTCCGCTCGTTGGTGTTCCGTATCAATGGAAGCTTGGCATGGTTTGCTTAAACTGGAGGCACGTATTGTTGAAGTACCCTCGAATGTGGTCCATGATCGACGTGACTTTTCCGCCGCCCCCATTCGGTTCCTGGAACCATAAGCCGCAGAATAATCGTCCATATCTGGTGGCAGCAGGGCTACTTGCCATGCACATCTACCGTTCCGCCAACCATCCTCTCCAAGTGAGACTTCGTGGCGCGATTCCACAGTCATTCCTCCTCATCTTAATGTCAGCATCGTATCGATGGGAACACTTGAACTTGGACAAGGATAGTCTCCGGACTGTAGACTCGCCTTTGGATGCCCTGATTAGCTTCCAATACAGCTCGAGCGAATACGGGTCTACCACAATGCGCGAGGAAGTCCCGCTGCTGCGTAATGTTACCAGCCTTCGTCGGCTTATTGTCGAAAATGTTCAACCTTTTCTACATCCCGGCCGCGTCATCATTCCATGGACACAAATAAACTCCGTGGTAGTCGCTGGGTCTCTCTCGAACGAAGATGCTCTCGCACTCATCAAGCTCGCACCCAATCTTGCCACCGTGGCATTCCAACATGTTGAGCAATCTCCTTTCTACTCATCTCACCCCGTACCTGATTCCGTACATTCAACATCGCTCAAATCATTTTCACTGGACGTCGTCTTCCCCAGGACATGCCGTACCAATGCCAATTATCCTTCCACAATCACAGTTCTGCTCAATAGTCTCACTCTACCTGCTCTTGAGCACTTTCGAATCAATTTCGGTGGCCCTTGTGGGCTATCCGAGAGCATTACGCGCCTTGTGCGTAGATCACGATGTGCATTAAAGCGTCTGGTTCTTATGCGGGCCCCCACGAATGTTTGGGGAGGGCTTCTCGTAGCGGATGAGTTTGAGAATCTGGAGGAGCTTTTGATCGAAGGGCTGGAAAATGTTGCCCTCCTTCAAGGTGTCCTTGAAATTCTTACCGGATCGACTGCCCTTCCTCGACTTCGAACTGTCGATATCGATGCGTCTGCCATGGGGGATAGCATCGTTAATTGCCAAGATGCTGTCGTCCGGTTTCTGGAGTCCCGCAGGGTTGAGAATGGGGGGTTGGAGAGCTTGACGCTCCATGCTCCGGCGTCGTATGATATCTCAGAGGTAAACGTCCAAAGATTGGAAGCCTTGCGGAGGCTGGGTACGCGGTTATATATATATCGTCATTGACGTACCAAGCAAGGATCGTACTGGAGTAGACCGCTGCTTTGACGAATGTTTTCTGTAAAATTCTCCCGAGTCTATAGGAAAATATTGATGAGAATGGACATGGTATAGTGTTTGATGCGGTACAAACTCTGAAGGAATAATTACTTGAGTGGAGTAGTGGTCATGGTAGTGCATATGTGAGTGGCTATTTGGTTTTAAGATGATGGAAGTGACATGAGGAGAACAAAAAGAATAGCAAAAGTAATGAAAGAACATTTGGCAAACGAAAGAAGGGAGAATGCAACAATAGCTACAGTAAAGAAACGTGCAGGAGAATCTCGTGGCAGAGACTCGTCAAGCGTTCCCACACACACAATGTCGCCAGTGAATCTATGGTCGTCAGTGAATTGGCTTGGACTAATATTGCTTTTGTATGTCAATTAGCGTGCCAAGAAAGGGAGACAGAGCGGAAGCGGTGTGAGTGGTGTAAGTTATGGAGTACATGAACGGGTAGCCATAGTCAAAAAGCCTATTTATTTCATTGTAAGTTCTCAAGCGTTGTAAATAACAACCTGAATGATACTACCGAAGCTGACCTTCTTCGCATGAACATCGTCACCGGCAGACGAGATATCTCTAGGAGCATCCATACCATGTGGAGACTGCATTGATTATCTCTGCCCGTTAGTCAGCGTCGACGACGAGTTTTCTGTTCCTGAAATTGGACTATCCCATTGCTGCGCCCATTCATTTGCAGAAGGATTCCTAGTTCCGTTGGGCCATCTCATCTCTTCTGTCAGAAAATACCAGCTAAGAATACTGAAGAAATACGCCTCTTCAGGACACGATGCCGGGGGACGAGCATTTGCAACATTGAAACCTCCTCAAATTATGATTTCATCAACAGACCTCCATAGTCATGAAAGCGGCGCAAAGATTTGCTCCTTTCATCTAGAGCTTCCGTACTCCGGTGAATGGATTCTAGGGTTACTTTGCAGTCGCAAGTACATCCGGGTAGTATAAATGTTGCTCATACCGGTCACGAAGCGAATAGTTAAAGTCAGAGTTATCGAACATGAATATCAGGCGCAAATGGCCACCCTTGTGGGCTTTAACGAAAAGGCCCTGAATACCCATACAAAGCCAGTAAGGTATGCCTTGAGCATAATTTTGGAAGAGCATGATAATTATAAGGTGGATATTCTCTCCATGCAAAGAATGGGTGTAGCAACAGCAAGGCCATTAAATACCTATCCAAATATTGAGATACTGAGTACAGGAACAGTGTTCATAGACTTTGATAATGGTAAATTGCATGAAGCCACTATGAAGAATTAACTATATGCACTATCTTAAAGGATAGTGACATGATAAGACAAGGATATACTGAAGAACAATTCTTGACAAATTCTAGAAGTTGTAGTTTTCAATATGGACTGGGTTGAGGATGGTTCATAGGTATTCTCTGCTTTCTGGACTGGGATCATACAAGATACAGTGCAAGGTGACCAATCAGGTGCATTTATGCAAGTCACACAACAGGGTAGCAACTGGCAAGGAGGCATGAAGAGGAGAAGAGGTGTGATAAGAAACCTTCATGCTGCATAAATCTGTATTCCTACCACCCTTGCAGGTATTGCATCTTAGGACACAAACTTGCCTTGAATAAACTGCCTTTATATCTTCATATTTGATTTATCTGAGTCTGCAGAGTGCTTCTATTGTACTCAAACCACCCAAACTCACCTGTATTGGTGATCATGCATTGAGTGGTTAGGTGTTGGGGTTTAAGAGTTCATTCCTCATTTGCCTCTCTTAGTTGCTTAGCCATTATCAAGCACATCACCAGAGGCCAATCTGAAGAGGCCTGGTTGTTCCTTTGAAGCAGAGGCCAGGATATCTTCCATGGAAAACATGTTGGAGTGGCTGGGCTGGGTTTGTTCAGAATCAGCTTCTGTGGGTTGGGTGAATGTGATGGACATAATGAAAATTTTTTTGACTCAAGGGTTTGAGTTTGAATATACTGTTAGGAACATGCCAATTGATTAGGCTTGAGTGCATGCACAGGGACTGGCAGAGTGCATGGATGTCAACAAAGCTATTGGCAACATCACTCTTGAGTCAAGGCCCAAGGATTTGGATCAACAGAATGGAGTTCCATTGGAGAAGTGAAGAGGAATATCCTTTAGAGCAGAATCTGATGGATGAGATAAAGAGGAGCTGAAGTGAGCATGAAGTGTAGATGGCTATCCAAGTTGATATCTGAACTAAGTAATTACAACAATTGTATATGGTTTATATACTATTAGTAGTTAATTCTGAGTCAGAGTCCATTGAGTTCCAGTGTCAACTGTTCACTATCATATTCAGAGTCTAGATACCACAATGTGAAATATGGATGTGAAATAATAATGGTAAAATGAAATTAGTAGGTAATAGGGAATGGATGGAGTCCAGTGGAACTTGATGATTGAATTTGTGGTTGGTTGAGATGATATGGAGGCTGGTGGCATGTGCATAACAGTCCTCATTCTCAGACCTGGGAACCTCACATGCAGAACAGAGAAGTCCACTAGTGTTCTGGTCTCAGCTAGACATAGAGATGTCACATCTGAGGGAATTGTGCCTCCACCAGGTAATCACTTGCTTATTATATCCTACTACAGTGGGTACAAGATAGCTAACTTGGTAGAAAAACAATAAATATACTCATTCTCCTATCTGGTATAGCTGCCTGGCATATCACCATCATTATGGTAGCATTACACAATAGATGCTAGTGATACAGTGAGCACACATGTATGTTCAGGTTGCTCTGTCACAGATTTGCTATAACATGCTGCTCTCTAACAGGATTATCATCTACCTTCACCATGGATCCTAAGACTCATGAACAATTCTTTGCCAAACAAAACAGGATTATGTCTCTGGTCACTCAGTTGACTTAACCAGGTGACTGTTGTTGTCAGGGCAAACATCAGCTTAAGATTCAAGGCATTGAAATATTTCACTAGGATGAATCCTGACCAGTTGATTCTGGCCTGTAGAAATGAAGAGAGGGGGGGATAGAGGTGGTCTTTTGTGAATCTGTTGTCTTGGGAGTTGCAAAAGAAACTGAATTGGATGCTGTAGAACTCCAGAAGGATACAGATTATTAATATATGAAGAATATATGTGAGAACTGTAAATGAGTAGTAAGTAAGATACTAGCAGACATTGTGAGGTATATGCACCTCAGCCACAGTGAGAGTGAAACAACTGAGATGTACAGGTAACTATGGTGAGCTTATATATTGATTGATAGGGCCAGGAGGTGATATACATGTATAGCAAGAAAGAACATGTGATATGGGAAATGATAGAAGAGTGTAATAACAGGAGACAAACTGTGGTTCATGCAAGATCATTTTCTCAAATAGAGAGAGCTGCTCACCAGGACCTGCTATCACTGTTGCTCTTTCACTGACTGCATATAGCCATGGTGTGAAAGATGAAGGCAATACATGACCTCTGAATGATCAATATTTGCAGCCCACACATAACAAGGGTATGTGTTTAGTTGTCAAAGCTTCATCCTTTTGTGATATTTATAGACTGAGGCAATTTTTTTTCTGTGCTGAGCACTCTGTGCCACATATCACCACACCACAGCATGGCTTTTTGGTTGGCTGTACATAATCCATTGTCTTATCACTATCTTGGGATTAAGCCGTTCTGCTTGGAAGATTCCTTGAGGCATCGCAGTCGTAAAGGTGACTCGGACCCTCGTCACAGGGCAAGGTGCATGGCATTAGTACCCATGATATACTGCGGTCAAAGGAGGTACGGCTGTTCCAGCGACTGTCATACAGTTGACGTACATAAGTATCATAGGCGCAATACTTCCTTGATATATATCAACCTCCAAGTTCACCCGAAGTCGGTATTTTGATTCTATCTCGCGAGCGATATCTGGTTGCCAGAGAAACCGTTGTGGAAACTCGGAGCAACCCTCATCGTATCGTGATCACTCGGCCGGCGACAATTACAATGCCCGCATTCGACGTTCGAACAACCCAGAATCCACATACACCTAGATGTGTGATGATAATATGAGACCAGAGCACTGTTCATCGAGCAACTGATATGGCCGTATGGATATGTCATTCCGGTCTCGTTCTTGCATGTTCCTTCCACTACCGCTTCCTATTTCAAAGTGCATGTAATTGTTTCGAAGCATGATCGCACAACATTACATTTTCCCCGACACCGACACTTGATGCATACCTGACGTCAGTTATATGATACCTCACCTAATAGCAAAATATGCGCATTTCCGCACGGTACTACTAACGGCTGAGTGAATACCGGTCCATGAATGTGCTCCGTCCTCCGTAGAATGTTGAAGCCTACGTCCATCATGCGCGCAGCACCACGCTCCGGTCTGATCCATTGCAAAGAATGGCTCGTTGATCGGTCGCTGAAAGTATCATTTTCTAGCGAAAGCATCTCCTCATTTACAGAAGTGCTCTGCTACTGATAATGGGACGAGGGGGTGGATGGGAAAAAGAACGAGAGAATGTCATAACACACTGATGACAACAAAAATAGACTCGGAGTAGAAGAAAACAAAAATAGATGTCGGGGCAGGGAAGTTCGGAATTCTAGTATTAAGATCAGCTCACATCCGATCAACCGTCGGACGAGTAGAAAAAATATACGAAGGCGCTGTTTGTTCAAGGATCAAAGATTCACATGGAGCCTAGGACTGGTCGGGAAGAAAAATTGTCTAAAATCACAGGTGACAACTGCAGCAAGGGGACCTTTTGATGCATAAAAGACTCATAATTTCAAAAATGGGCCGATACTCGTGGTTGGTACGCTAGCAGATGATGATGGAATGTATTGTATTGTTCGTCCGTGTGCAAAGAAGGGCCAGCCCTTTGAAACGCGGATAGACGTCGGTGATGAAGAGAACCGCCACCACAGGGCACACTGAACAAGGTAAGTAACGGGCGCTGAGTTGTAAACTGTTCGCAGTAGTTTTGTCTTGTTACTCGCCAGCGAGCCCGTAATGGAGTCTTGGTGGAGTAGTCCACTTTGACGTCGGGAGAATACAAGTGCCTTGAAAATCACCCGTCGTTAGGGAAGCCCTCATACAAGTGTCCTGGACTCGTACGCTAGGCAACCCTAGCCGACGGAGCGCTACACCATGATTCTTGGATGACTAACAAAGGACTGGTAGCCAGTCACAATGCGGCTAACATTTGCTATGAGTATCCGATGATCATCATGAAAGCACGGGGGGTCCCCCGTACATGTTTTAATATCAGAAGATGAACGCCTGATCGTATTAAAGGGTAGTAACTCGGAGAATGAAAAGAACGGAGTAGGGGAAGCTCAAGCACGAGTGCACTGTTCGCGAGGTAGGTAATTGGCGCACATCGGCCGCACAAGTTTGGGGTGAAAGACGTAGTGAAGGTAAATAACATGTGAGAGTAGGTGTGAGAGTCAGTCCGCAGCACAAGGGAGTCGCCGATCATCTTGATAAGATGTGAATTTTGCGAGGTTCTCGCAACAAAAACCCAAAGAGAGGACCAACAAGAGGAGTACGTAGGAACAGTTGAAGAAAAGATGGTCTGACAATGCTGTGCTGGTGTGGGCGTAAGAATACAAAGAAGGAAGCATAGACAATACTAACACCGAATGGGGAAATGTCATTGATGCACGGAAAAGTATATAAAGACTGAAGCGGAATGATCTCGTCCTCGACTTTTTTCCCTTCCCCATCTATCGTCCCCACTGCAGCCCTCATCTCCCTCCTCCCTCCTTCCTCCACGCCTACAGTCTTTTCGCTCGGGAGCATCTGACTGACCTTGTATCTTCCTTTTCACCGGTCAACAACAATAATGATGAAGGCTTCCTTTTTCCTCCCCTTGCTTGCCGCCTCCTATGTCGCCGCCCACGGATACGTGCAGAAGGTGACCATCGATGGTACCGAATACACTGGTCCAACCGTCGATTCTGGCAGTACCGATGGGATCACTCGCGAAATCTCTACTCAGGATCCCGTTAAGGGCGCGACGAATTCCGACCTTACCTGTGGGCCAGGTTCCACCGCTGGCACCCAAGTTGCCGACGCCAATCCTGGCAGCACCATTGAGTTCTTGTGGACAGGTGCTAGTGGCTCGGCGGTGAGTATGACTTTTGTTAGTTCGGTATATCCGCTGATTTTTCTCTTAGTGGCCCCACAATGTCGGACCAATGATGACCTACATGACCAACTGCGGCAGTTCGTCATGTGCTGACTACGATACAAATGGTACGGAATGGTTCAAGATTGACGAAGTTGGGAGGACCGATGGCACATGGGGGCAAGCCGCTCTCAGTGCGTATACTATTTTAACTGTATATTCCGTTTTCTTAAAGTCATATTTACTCCAGTGACTGGTACCGCTGCCAATGTGACCATCCCAAGCAACCTCGCTCCCGGCAACTACATTATCCGCCACGAGATAATTGCGCTCCAGTTAGCTCAGACAGAAGGGGGCGCAGAGTTCTACGCGTCGTGCACTCAGCTCAAAGTTGGTGGCTCTGGTACCGGCACTCCTTCCAGCAGTGATCTCGTTCAATTGCCTGGAGCCTACAGCGACACTGATCCTGGTATTCTGATCGATGTACGTCTCTTTTCTTCCCGCACTTGTGGTCTGGCTAACAGTTTTCAAGGTCTACGATGATACGACTGCTTCCTACACATTCCCTGGCCCAGCGGTTGTCGACCTCAGCGGCGGCAGCTCCAGCGCTTCCGCTTCCGCCACTCAGTCTGCGTCCGCTACCTCCACGTCCAGCAGCACGTCATCTGGCTCAACGGGAGGCTGCAAGCTCAGGAAGCGCACGAATACCAACAGTACCGCCGTACTCACCAAGAGGGAAACCGTCGCCAAGAGACCCCGCCATGTATCTAGGATCATGCGCGGATTGGATTTTTCTTCTCACAGGCATTAACGCGCTAGTCTGCGTCTTTTGCTCACGCTAGTTCGTGTTGTTTTGGCCATGCTAGTCCATGGTTTATATCTTCTGCGTGTTGATATCTTTTTTACACTTTATATCCTCTACGTCTGCTCACGACCATGACCTTCTCACTCTCTCGTTATTTGGCACACTCTTGTATTGCTATCGCTCATTATCTGTTGCGGCTAGTACGTGACATTGTAATAATAGGTTGCATGGTTGTAGACTAGACATCCCCCTCACATACACGTAGTAATACATTGATTATTGATTGATCATTAACCAGTAATATGGTGTCATCAAATTCTCGACATTGAACCCTTGTGTTGTTAAAATAGGTACGGTGGCGGAGTGAAACTCCGTGAGGCTGCTGGATTCGAAAGAAACCACGGTGTTTGTGAGGGTTGGTATGTATGTATAACCCTTGAAACTGGGCCTGGTATTGCGTTAAGAGGCTGCTGCCGACCTCGAGTTACATGAAACTGGTGTAACTAAACCCACCCGTACCACCAAACGCGACACGTCAATATTCAATCTCCACTGATTGTTCTCGCACCAAAAATGGTGATGGCATCATACCAGCTATCCGCACTTCAAGAAAATAGGGTGGGCAGTGGCAGTAGCTTCCTGGGGTTTCATGGTGCCCAACGAGGGGGAAGAGGAGGAGGCGCAAAACAAGCTCGGCCAAGTTCAGTTCAGTTCGGTGGAGCGGAACATCATCATCATCCGGGCTAAGTTGACTTTGACGGACAGGTGAAAAAAAAAAAAAAGGTTTTGACAACCAATCGCGGTTTAATGAAACTCGCCCCCCTTTCGTTATCGCGCGTATGGTGAAATCTTGTCGGTCTGGAGTCGTCGACCCTACCAGAATGCCATAAGCTCACTGATGAAGTCTACACTCACCCCCCCCCCCCCCCCCCCCCCCCCCCTCCCAGGTGCGATAAACCTCGTTATCCCAACTTTCGCAGTCAAGTGGAACAAAATCTGGGTTTCACATATCTTGTTGGAGCATTTCGATTTCGATGGAGATTTGTATAATGCGAGTGCTCTGGATACTAGTATTGTGAGTAGAGCGGTTCACTCGTTTCTGTTTTCGTTGGACTTTCCGACATTCTTGTCAGGCTACGGATGAGGGGTTCTGGGTGAATCAGGAGGCGAGAGACGAGCTCACTACGGCCGAGTTTGTGATTGAGGAAGATGGTATTGGGTTTGGCTTGGCCGGCGGGATTTGGGGTACTGGTCCCGGCGTCGATCCTCCAAGAGGTTGATACAGTGCGGGAGAGAGCTGAAGTATGGTTCAGGAACGTGTAACAAAGTGATGTACATTCGCACTACGTATCTAAAAATTACAAATGGAAAGGTGTACATGTTTACGTTCGATATTAGCAGACACTAGGGATAGATTACCAAGAGAGAAATGTATAGTCTCCACATGACACATACCTTAGACTTGGCTTCGTCCTCTTCCTCCTCTCGAAATGATAGTAAAGAAAGATGCGGTCAGCTTTCATAATCTACGTAAACGATTTCAACGGTAGGAAGTACATAATACAAGCGCGTACCGTTCACGTAATTTCTAATAAATGCAGCACCATCGTGTCGGACTAACCATAAAGGTCTCCATTGCAAGCTCTATTGGGACTCCAGAGCTCATCTAGATTGACTACCTCAAGAACCTGAGCTAGTCAATCTAGATGAACGTCAGACTCCCAGGATCCAAAGCGTAGCTTGGGCAGGTTCCTTGGCGTCGAGATTCCCGGCGTGCTTGAAGATACTGTTGCCTGGTAATGAGAGGAGATGTCGATTGACCTCTTTTAAGCAGTGAAGTGAGACTTTGATGCAGCGCGGAGAAATCTTATCAGAAAAGAGAGTACGCCAAACATAATGTGATGGTTGACACACCACTAGACTAGCAGTCCGCATAGAATACAAGAATATGATGAGAAAGATGGGAGTGAAAAAACCATTGAAACCTTTTTATTTAAATACAGGCGAACCGGGATATCCGGCGACCTCGTGTCACTTGAACTCGAGATCTCTCTCACTGTAATTCCTTTTTCCCGGTATTCCTCCAAGCGTATAAAATTAATCAGTCATCCTCATGGTCAAAACCTGAGAAGTCGAGTACAACACATTTAAATAGAAAATACACGGGGTAATACAGGAGTAGAGGGCCGGTACAGAACACGGGAGTTATTGTGCATCATCGGCTTCGGTGATGCTGACGCAAGGAAGGATGGTAATGATAAGGACAATAGCGTCCGTTTCCTCGAGCTATAATTTATTCAGAATCAGAAGAGTGTAGCAGAAGTAATAAGTTAATCACCTCTCTTGCTGCTGCTATCGCTCAACTTTCGAGCAGAATCCTCTTGAGACGACTGAACTGATACAGTATTCAGGCTATTGTTCAACAGGTTCCGCGGCGCTGTGAGAAAATCCAGTAATGAGGGAGTGTATCAGCCAGCATCAAGTGCTCATGCAAACTCACGGTGTTCAGGTCCGGAAGTATTCGCCGGGGAACCGTCCGATGATGAGCTTCCCAACTCGTATCCCCGTTCAGTGTGGATATTGGTGCCAGCGAACATGTCTGAAAGTTCCTCTTCCGTCATCTCGTATTCTTCCCTCGGCCTGCCTCCCGTTCTGTATCGTATCCGTGTGATCTCCATCTTGGTCAACTGAGGCGGATCTATGTCGGCATCTGCAGTAGCAGCAGTCAGGACCGGAGTACACAAAGTCAAGGAACCAAACGGACCAGGCGTGCGTGGAGGACCTGGTGGAGCATACCAGATAGGGCTCAATCCTTGCGGGCCATCAAGATTGACGAGCTCAGGCTCACTCAGAGCCTCGAGCGTGACTTCGGGTTGCCAGTTTGATTGCGGTGCAGGGAACAAGGTAACGCGCATGCAGCGGGGCATACTGATGACGCCTATAGCCTCGAGAAGTTAAGGCGACACGAAGTTAGGCAGAGATGGAGGAAGAGTGAGGAACGAATGGACTGCATGTGAAGCGTTTTATTGTAGACTCTACACGTGTTTTTGACCATATCGATAGTGGCTCTGGACTCCGTATAAGGAGGCCGGTAGCTAGGAATGGCATAACGAGAGTTTCGGGAAAGCAAGGACTTTCTATTGAATCATCATCAATAACGAACAGTCTCACCGGAGTTAAGCGGGTTCCTTGCCGAAGTCGGTAGCTAAAATCACTCGTGACGGTATCTATTTTGACATGGGCGCTCAAGAATCTTTAGCGAGATTAAGAGATTCCTGTCGTTGCGAGAGCCGACCTTCATGCACCCAAGATACACAAAAGATATCAATCATATGTTCAAGAACATCAGCATAGAACCTCATCCAGAGCCTCTAAGAAGCGGAACGGGACAAATCTGCCAGTCAAGGCTCTTCATATACAAGTAATGTCGGTGATACTTGGAAAAGGAATGTGTTCTAAGCTGTCCTGTAAACAAAAAAAAAAAAACAGACAACATACCTCTGCATTGGATGTGCGCAATTTCTGGAACTTGCAATGGTACCCAAAACCTCGTGGACCTGACCTAAATCGTTACGTCATAGTCACAAGCCAGCACGCGACGAGGAGTGCGGCGAAAACTGAAGAAGGTGAAAAGAGAAGGCAAGAAGTGCCGCCCATTCGGGTTCGTCGTTGTTCTCGGACCAGTCGCTGATATGAGATACGACACCTGTGGTCCAATGACCAGCCAACTGCCATGACCGCGTCAGATGCCCATGCGTGTGCCCCCCCTCGGGCTTCGGCTCTCGTGGGATAAGAGGTGCATACATCCAGGGTACAACATAGACATGAATGCAACTGATTGTAATTCATAGGAACGCAAGATACGCGACAGAAACATCATATCTCAGGCTGTCAAGAATGGCTTGCTGCAACTGCATGAAGAATCTGCCGATGGGCTGTCGCAAGGAAGTGATGTGGCCAGGAAGAATAAGGATCAGAGCTAACATGGCATTTTGGCGGCTGAAGAGAGGGGAAGAATGACCTGAGGGTTCCAGAGTACACCGACAACTTGAAAAGGATGTCGATTTGGGGTAGCGCTTTGCAGGCTGAGAAGCAGCGGCCAGTCGCGGCCAGTCAAAAAGCCATTAGTTGATTAATCAAGCATATCAGGAGGTCACGGGAGAACCTGATGGTCATCCAGAAGATGACAGCAAGTAAATGAAAGGTGATGCCTGTTCCACCAATCGTTTATGGTTCAAGGCAGAGACGCCCATCTCCACTTTGTGGCATGAAACTTTGTTGTTCTGAAACAGCGGCGACCACCGACCACTGTCACATGCTCCTTTACGTATATCACCCCCTTAATACTAGTAGGCTTCCCTTTACTTTACGCAAGGGTCAATGCTCAAGCACATCGATATTGGAGCAGCCTTCAGGCGCGAACTGGGAAGAAAAGAAGGAACTCGTCGTCGTGGATGCCTTCCGCTATGGCAACGTTGACGTGAACGTTCGACTACTTCAACATGGCCCCTATCGACAGCAAACAAAGGTTTGCAGTCAGTCCTGTCCAAACGTTTTGGGGTTATGGACTTGAAGGGCTAATATTGGTTGATTCGATGATTTGCCCGAGCTTCATGCTACAGGTAGGATGTCCGGCAATGTTACAAGTACATCAGAGATTTCTTGCAGGGGTTGGACCAGCCAAAGAATCTGTATGACCCAGAAAAGACCTAAAAGAATGTAAGACCAACGGAATTTCAAGAATGAAGGCTTGACGCTTACATTTCTCAGCCTTTCGCCCTCTTGTTAGCGATCTCATGGGGCCAGATCGGTAAGATGGTAGTGAGGCTCCGTTCTGTCTATCGTCGGTATACGTCGAGATAACCCACAGTGCATGCGCCTCGAAATTGGCAACATGCAGCCCAACATGCATCTAACGAAGAAAACGAAGAGAATCAGATACCTCCTTTGGCATGGATGCAGGGACGTACACAAGAATGCTATTGCCGACACGAGTGGTGGAATGAGAGCGGTAACGAAGGGTCGAGAAGGTAAGACCAGTAATCGTTATTTCGAAGTCGTCTTGTGTATCCCTACAACCGGGACATTCGAGAGGCTCTCTACCTGTGGGAACGGTCAAACTCGTAATAACACGAGCAAGAAAAAAGCATACAATTTGTTTATCAGGAATGCTTCACTGGAACGACGTCTTCATCGAAGCGAGCTGAGTTTGAGAAACTTTCAATGGGCTAGACGCTGTTAGATGATAGTTCCGGGAAAGTGCTGCAATAACTCAATACGACCGACGCCTACTGAGAGATTGTGGTACTCACAGATGGCCATGTCGTACTACTTCCATTAGCAATGACTCCCTCCCTTTCCGTCCGTGTCAACGCCCAATACCACTTATTACTCTCATCCGCTTCAACGGTATGCGAGGTTTAGCCACGAAAAAATGGATAGCGAGATGATTTTTCGAGGCTCAACAACATGCGAGCTCGTCGTATTCCAAGGTAAGAGTGACGTTCCTACGACGACCGCGAAGGCTTCACTCAATCCATGGAAGGCGCATATATCCAGTTTTCATCGGTCAAGGAAACTGGGAGTAGCAAGTTAATGGTGGTCCCGTGAGCTGGAGTCGGCGACCCGTGGTGAAGATAAAGCCGGTAAACGGATATCGATGAAGAAGCGAAGTGTGGTAAATGAAAAGTCCCAGTCTGAGTGGCGGGCTGCCCTAAATAACACGTGCCCGCTTGATGTAGATTAGCAGAGCCGACATCTGTTTCCTCCGTTCCAAGCCGCGCACAGATAACGGCCTCTCGAAACGGGAAGACCACGGCGCAGTATACGTAAGTACATAATGAAGGAACGCAGTTAGCAACGAGTATGAACCCGCTTCATGTATCCGGATGCCAGTCTAGCAGTAGTAGTGCACACAATAGCGAAGCCTCTCCTCTCCAGAAAAGAAGAGCTCATCCTAGTTATTAAACAAAGTAACAGAACACTCATAACTATGTGCAGCCTTCCCGGCCTTTGAAACTTGTACAGTAATTGGCTAATGTATGTATGAATGCGTAGTCTATGATAATATACACGATGCTATAACACACGCGCCCTGCGATAAATGAGAAATGATAATACTAGTACGGCCCTTGGTCTGAGTATTATACAGCGGAGAAGCCGGATCATTAAGCGAGTGGACGACAGACACCGATGAAGGAAAAAAAAAAAAAAGGCAGGATTAGAAGTCGTGCCGTGCGATAAGCTCCACTGCTCGTATTGACCGAGGTGTGATGTTACACTTAAAGGGTGCGGGGTGACTGTTTCGTGAGGGTGAGTATGGGGGGACGGTTTACGAGAACGAACCATTTGCATTTACCTGACACTTCCGTGCGTGGGGTCAAACACGGGCTCGTCACCCTTCACTTTTGAGATGTCGAATGAGGCGAGCGCCATCGAACAGACAATGTACATAGTAGCTTGCGCCAGCAGACGTCCTGGGAGCAATATATCAATATCTTGAAATGACCCGTGGAGGACATTCAAGCTTGCCTGGACATATCCTAAAAGAGACAGCCCGTCAACCAACTGAACGGCGGTAATATGGCATGTAGCAACATACCGTCTACCGAATCCGAAACTAATTTCTCTGGGGTCTTGTTCGGGACTGGGACCAAGAAAACGTTCAGGGTTGAAAGTCATCGGGTCTTTGTACACTTCTGGATCATGTGTCATTGCCCTAAGAGACAGAATGTTAATAAATGAAGGCGGAGATACGATCCTGCAATAATCACCATATGTTGGCAAACACGACGGATCCTTTTGGAATGAAATGACCCTCAAAAACATCGTCTTCAAGGGTACCGTGAGGAATGCCTGGCGGAAGTTGAGTAGGTCGACGACTAAAATGCGAGAGAATCACACAAACCTATCGGGGCGACAGGGTGAAATCGCACAAGCTCTTTGCAGAGAGCATTGATATACGGTAGATCCTCCTGGTCATCGAACGACGGCAACCGGTCGCCTCCAAGTACGGAATCTAACTCGGCTTGAGCTTTCTTCTGGACTTCAGGGTAAAGCATCATGAGAAGAAAGAATGTGTCGAGGACTGCGACGGTCTATCAGGGAAGAGGGTCAGCCATCGGTAAGCCACCAGCGGTGTTACGCGTAACGTACTGTGTCGGCGCCCGCTATCGTGAAATGGCGTTAGCGAGGGAACTACCTGAATATTCAAAGTAACGGACCTGCATAGATTGCTCCAGCCGCCCACTTCAGATCGTGCTCCTGCACACGTTTAGTGTCATTTTGAAGAAGCAGGTTTGAAACGAAAGATTCTTGAGCTTCACCGTTGGCCTAGATCGTTTAACCGAGTCAGACACTGTCATGAATAACCTAAGCACGTAGAAACGTACGATGTTCTGCTTGACCATTTCAAAGGGCACGTTGATCATGTTACGCAAATCTTGCGCCCATTGCTTGGCTTTCGACTGAAAGCCTGCTCCAGGTAGCCACTCAGGAATATGGCGCACTGAAAGAAAGACACAGTCAAAAAATAATTTGTCAGGGCGAGAAACAGGGCAGCCATACACATTGGAATAATGTCAACTAGGAATTGACCTGGCGTGGAAGCGACTGACAACTCTTCCATCGCGCAGTTTACGAGCGCCACCATTTCATCGTTATCACTTTTCACCTCGTAACCATAGGTGATGCGAAGCACCAGGGCCGCAACGTCCCTGGCGAACGGGTCAACATCCGCTTCGACGAGGAAAACGGAGCGGAGACACTTACTGTGAGATGTGCGAATGCAGTTTTTCTGGTGAATCGAGCAGCCGCTTCATGAGGTTCACGGCCTCCTGCTCTTCCATGGGGTAGAAAGTCCGAATCGCCGACTTGCTACCGAGAACGGAGTGAAGGAGTTTACGGTGCGAACGGAAAGTTTCTCCGTAAGGAGCCAGACCGATTATGTCGTTCCAGCCCATAAGCTCTCCAGCCATCACCATCTTGGGACGTTCAGAGTAGATGACGCTTCGTTTGTCGAGGAGCGCATAGGCCGCGCGATGAGAGTTAAGAACGATGAAGGATTGGCCGAACATTGAGAGTGAACAGACATCGCCTTATGAAGTTGCACCACTTTAGTATCGTGAAAAAAAGAGAATGATGGCGCGCGCACCCCAGGTGTCTGCCCATTTAGCAAAGGTCAGCCAAGGGCGGTCGGAGGGCATGTCGAAGACATTGCCAATCAAAGGAAGGCCGCGAGGGCCAGGAGGTAGGGAGCGTCGTTTGGAAATTATACGTTGAAGAAAATAGATGCCTGCAACGAAGAGAATGCAATCAAGAAAGAGGAAAGAATTCATGGTGAGCGGAAGGAAGGGAAATATGAAGGAGAGTAAGGAGGACTCAAGAGAGACGAGAAAATTTCTAACTAGAGCGTGCCCATTAAATACAAAGTAACCCGGTACCTTTTCACCATGCTTCCCCAACGGCCACTGATTAAGGGCTTCGAAATCTGTGGCGTTCATTCGATCTTGACAATAGGAAATAGTGTTTTCACAATCGTGTCGTCACGAAATTGGAAATACCCATCCTGCCTTGCCGCCTCTGACCGCTTCTTCATCGTTCCGAAGGCGGGCGGGCGGCAGGCTCTATGGTCCTTGTTGATCGCGCCTGCAAAAGTGTGTACTGGCGTCTTGCATTCATGGTATTCGCCTTTGTACCACACACGAATGAGGACGGAGTATCGTCGTCTCGATGGTCTTGCAGTTCAAACTGACGCTAACGGCATCTGCCAATACTGTCAGGGTTAAGTCGGCATGTTTCATCGTTCCAATAGACTGTCCACTCACCGAGTAAGCAGGCAGGACTGACCCTTGTCATACGCATCTGGCAAGACAATTTCAACGGTGGGTGATAGGTGGTGATGGATACATTCCAAGAAGAGCTAGATTTGGACGGTGCCCTGAGGTGGCGCCTGAAATGCTTCCGCCACTCACACCCCCGCTTTGACCTTTCGCTGCGCCTCTTCTACTCGCCCGCCCTTCTCCCTGTTCTGGGGCTCGCCCCGTTCTCGATCCGCAAGGCTCAAGGGACATTGATATGTCGGCGCGAGTCGGAACGAGGCGTGGCCCATCAGCTTGGCTGTTTTTTTTTTTCCTTCTCTAGGCCAGACCTTAGTCAGTCGCATTGACCTTTCAATTTACGTCCCAGCCTCCTCATGTTTGTGCGGTCCGCCTTCCCAGTGTCATGGAAGACACGGAGGACTAACCCATGACATCGCCGGGAACACAGTTCGACGAAAACGGTATCACGAAGAAAATGCACCATCATTTGGAGTAATGATGTTATGTAGACAGTGCTGGGGCCTATAATTGTCCTGCACGGCTTTCCGTGATGGTAGGAGTGGAAGAACAGGGAAAAGCGGACCCACAAGGTCCTATGATGGAAAGACGACCCAAATCGGAAATCGAGCTTCATCATCTTCTCGACGAAATTACAACAGTTGTCGATTTTTTGATTTCTTGGAACTTGCGAGTTCAAGAGCTGCCGATGTGGACGGGCGGTTTTGACAGATATATCGGGTTAAACAGAACCCGATCAAAGCGAACCAAGATTGGTTGTAGAGATTCAATGGACCATCAATTCTCCATTTGATTTATTCAATCATTGCGAGGGAATCGAGCACTGCATATTTGAATGACTGTAGGAATCCATGCCATTCTTTCAGCTCGCCGAACGTGGATAAAGATGGAAAATGGAGATTACCTGAGCGGCTGAGCTGGTGGTTCCAGTCTCTGAAGCTTGTCAGGCCTCAAGCTTCAAGCGGTTCCACTTGGTCACCTTCTTCACGAGGCAGATTCTGTCCGTTCCTTTCAACAATACCATGACTACGGCACATGGCGCGTACGCGCGATCAAGATGACTGGATTAACGGCGGTGCCACTGCATTGTTCTCCCTTTTGTTACTATCACTTGGGGACTGTGGATCATCCGCGGGACCATCCATCTCATTCCGCGGGGAATTACGGGCCTTGGGTATAACTGTTTGCGCAGTCAGAGTTGGGTGGGAAAACTGTCGTCACGATCAGTGGCGCGCAAGCGCGAACCGACGCTTGCGATGAGCGCCAGGCATGCAGCACGGCGGCATGTCATCCGTGCGAGGAGCGGGACACGTCAAAGGCGGAAGAATCCGCCAGTAAGACATTGAGCGACTGACAGCACCCCGTTGCGCTGCTTTACGGACCGTGTACATCCAATACTCCAATAAATGAGGATAATAGCACTGGCTCTATTAGGACGGAGGTCTTATTGGGAGCAAAAATCCGTATCTCGACATCGGCTCTTATGTTCCCGGCGTTGGAACTCGCCTTGAATCGACAAAGCCTTGACTGAAGTACTGTCCAGGCGACCGAAGGGTTAGGTTGGCATCGTCCGTAACATGTTCAACAGCTTACGTTCATCAACCACATAGAGTGTGACCATGATTTCGTAGGAGCCGAAGGGCGTTCCGCCGTCCACGGCAAAAACATGGGAAGAAGGCTGGCTGGTTCTAGAAGAACACGCTTCAACACGCCACTAAAAAAAAGGAAAATAGGACCTACAAGGATCCACAGTCCTGTCCCCCGGAAGCGGAAGAACGATGTGCCGTACGAGTGCTGCTGCCTTTTTCCACCACCACCGTATTCGTCGCTCATCGCTCATCAATAGGACATCCCTTTCCACTTAACTCCGGTCAGACGGAGAAGAATCACAACCACAGGCTACGGATGTCCCTTAGTATCAATGATACCTGCGTCTTTGGCGTCTTTTGAGCGCAGTCACGCGAAACCCATAGCCGCCTTGTAACCGTATTTCCCTAGTATCTCCCTCCGACGGTTAACAGACGGTTTCCATCTTTATTCGTTATGATGAATCAAATGATCTTGCTTTGTTCTGATGGGACTAGCTGATTTTGAATATTTTTCTGGCTGGAAACAGAAATGACCCCACCTTCGTCGAGAACGGCGAGATGCACAAAAGAACTATCAGGTTCAACAGGGCTGCGCATTTTGTCACGGGGGCCTCTAGTTACCCTTCAAAAGACTCTAGTCTAGTCTTGTTGAGCATATGTGAACTATGCAATGAGTGAGAAAAATAAGGTGACGGCGAACATTCAACATACCTTTATCTGCTCAGCGGGACACACAGAGCCGTATTGTCACGTCGCTCATCGGCCCGACTTTCAGAACGTCCCCTGGCGGATACCCCCAAGAATTCGGTAAAATGCAAGCCACGGGGTGTGGCGGATTCACCTTAGAAGACAAGCGTTGATGATCTTGTCACGGGAAGTTGAAACATATCTCATCGGTCCGACCTTCACAACGGTGCGGGATCGTTCATGTCCGATTTAGATAGCGCGAGAAAGGGCGGGCCGAAATTCGGCAGAGTCTGTAGGTGAGGTGGATGTGTGTACGACGTGGATGGATGAATGAACTTACCTTATCCCTTCAAGTTACGCAGACCGGATGTCGTCCGACGAAATCGTGTGTCCAATGTTATGCCATTAGTAATGCACCCGCAAGTAGTAATGTCCCCGCAAGTAGTAATGTCAGTGAGTCCGAGGCTGGCGAATTTCGGTACAGCAGCTAATAAGCTTCAACGGAATAAGTAAAACATTAGTGAAGATAGGTACCAAAGATCCTTTACCTCGGTCAGTCTTGTGGGGCGTACATCTGTGGAAGGATGATATCACTAATCCGAGTTTGAACGTTGATCACGTTGATCAACCCAGCATGCCAGAAAGTAAGACTGCACCATAGCACCCGAAGAGAGAAAGCCCTGTGGTAACCTGCTTGATCAACGATACTGCCTTTACGCTGCTGCCGCCTCGAATGCTGATAACGGCGGACTTGGCGTGCTATGAGGTCAAAACAGAGAAGAACCTCCCTCTCCTTTGGTGATGAATGAAACGGCATTCATCCTAGCGTTGTCTTTAGCGTAAAGGCGAGACGAAGGACGGACGACACGACTGCGGATACAGATACCGTGGATGCGGAGATGGCCAGAATGGAGGTCGTACGGTATGTTGACTGCAAGATTTGCATTTAATTGAATGATCGCAGGTCGGTAGAGAGAACGTACCTGTGAATAAGCCACTGACGGCATGGAGAATGCTAAAAGGATTCGAATTTAGTTGGAACCCGATATTAACTTATTTTTGAAGGTAGCAGCACTAACGGTTGACCAGATCCATCATAATGTATCCAATAATGCGATGCGTAGTCGCGATTGGCTTTGAATAATTCCTGTTTTTTGCTTCTCATTAGCTTCTCATTGTTGCCGCTTTGTCTTGAACAGTTCGAGTTAAACAGCCTAGGGAACGCCAGGCTTTAAGCCAGCTGAAGGACACAACTGTGACAGTGATGAAAAAGAGATTTATGTAAAGACGGCGGGCAAGCGCGTTCGGTGGAGGTAAGCTGTAGCTTTCCAGCAAAAAGAAGAGAAAAGTGTGTAACTCTTTTGCCTCTTCATGCTATACGCGCTCTTCCCTGCTATGCTTTTTCCTCTACCAGATCCCACCATTTTGTAATTGTAATCCTATTGGTCCAGTTTTGACGTACGGCAAACTAACGCGTCCTAATTCTCCGCAAAGCGTACCCCCTCTTTTGTTGTCCATGTGAAAAGCCATTTGCATGTGTTTCCCTTGCGTGTGGAGATAGCCATCTAAACTTTGAGGTTTTGGCGGACTCTGGACAGGAAGTTTATGGCCATCTCGGAGTCAAAACTACCATAGATTGTCCATGTCAACCCTGTATGCGAATGGCTGTAATGATGCCCGCACATTTGGCTTACGGTAAGAGACACTGGGGTTTTCCCTTTCACCGGACCGGGTTCTCTGTTAGCCGGAAAGCAACATACTTTTACTTCGGCTTTCTTTGATCAGTGGCCAGCATGGCGCCTTCTGCATACATCGCGCCCGTTGGAGATTCCGCACTCATCTTTCGAGATGATATCTTCAAGGGCAAAGTGCTCTTCTGTACGGGTGGTGGTTCCGGAATCTGTCGGGCGATGACGGAAGCTGTGGTGCGTAACACATCTACCAGGACCAGGTGTTTCGATTTATAACCTGACGAAATCATAGATGCGTCATGGAGCCAACGCCGCTATTGTTGGACGCAAGTGAGTTTTGCAAGTTCGGATCTGTTTCCTAATGAGTGGTTGGTGACATCTGTAGACTTGACCGGCTCACACAGGCTGCGAAGGAACTTTCAGAGGCGACGGGTCAAGTCTGCATCCCCACGCAGGCAGATGTCAGACAACCAAAGGCCCTTCAAGAGGCCGTCTCGAAGACGATAGAGAAATTCGGCCGCATCGACTTTGTCATCTGTGGTGTGTTCAATCGCTGTATCATCATCACTGGACCTCTCTTTAACATCCGGTCAGGTGCCGCCGGCAACTTTTTAGCACCGATATCCGGTCTATCAGAAAATGCGTTCCGAACCGTGATGGAAATAGACACTGTACGCTGCCCCGCCCCTTCTCCCTCCCTACCAATGTAATCTCATACGTAAACTCTCAAATTAGATTGGAACGTATAACACGATCAAAGCGACACTTGCTCATGTCCGTGCTTCCAAGGGCTCCTACATCATGACCAGCGCGACGCTCCATTACAACGGTGGGCGTTCTTGACGTACCCATTATTCTGTATGCAGCTAAGAGCTTCGCGCAGGGACTCCCTACCAAGCTCACGTATCAGCAGCAAAAGCCGGTGTAGACGCTCTTTCCAATGTTCTTGCCGTCGAAGAAGGTCCGCATGGCGTGCGCTCGAACGTCATATCCCCCGGTCCCATAGCCAACACAGAGGGCGCGGCCCGTTTAGCGTCCGTGGCTGGCAAAGATAGCCCTTATCCATTAGGACGTCCCGGTGATGTCAGAGATGTCGGCAACGCGACGATATTTCTATTCAGCGATGCTGCTTCATTTGTAACGGGCCAAATACTGGCCGTCGATGGAGGCAGTGAGCATCTTCGGACGACGCAGCTGCCGTATCCGGCTTCGGTGTTGGACCCTTCTGCTACGCTGAAGGTGCTCAAAGCAAGGATGTAGAGTATCTCTGCATAACGAAGTCTTTACTTGTCTGTCTGGATGACGTAGTTACCATACATTCATGACACGTCCCGATCATCATGCGTGGTTCCCTTGTCCGCCTCCCGACGAGTATAAAAGCGCGCTCCTTCCATTCCAACTCCCTGGCGCTCCTTTCTCTCCTTCTCCCACCATTGAACGCGAGTTCTCCCGATCGGCTGCGTTCTAAAGTGACGCGGGCATTAACGAACACGTCGATTTTTTTCACTGTGTCTCTTTCCCTATGTGTTCCGCGGCGAATGGATATTTGGTTTTCTGCAAGCGTTCACTGCTTTGTACTCCAGAATCCTGGGGTCCGGAAAAAAATCTCATTATTATGCCTCCGCAGGCCTCGTCTAGCTGGCGGTTGCTGGGCTCGCAAGCGCACTAGCGACAAGAGAGAGCACAAGTGTGAGTAGTGGAACCATCGTTGCAAGACACGCTTCATTCTTGTACCGTCCTTCCCAAAGTGCTGACGGGGGCTTTGGGTTGTCCGGACGTGGGATTATCTGGGAGGAGGCCTTCTCATAGCTCGCTGCTGTAGCTGCCTTCATTCTAGGGAGCATTCAGGAAGGAGAAAAGGAGAACAACTGGGAGATGAACACTAACATGCCGTTCTCTGTCGATGGCCGGAGGAACTTGAATCTGGCGAGCTACATGCCCCTAAGTTCTAGCTGAAAAGCAATCGGTGAAGCAAGAGTGTTTACCAAAGAGTGTATATCATCCATCCAGGAATACATCAAGTCATCCCGAGGGAGGTCCGGATCCCTCAGTTCCCACTCGGGGACGATATCCGCGATCCTGGTGTCCCAGGAAATCCTGGGAACGAGGCTTTCGTTGGAAATAAGAAGGCCAGTCGCAAGGACATTGAAAAGCTGCTCATAATTAGCTCACATTACCCTGAATTAGTTGATTAATGCACTTTGGAATTAGAACTAATGCAGAAGAGTGTATCTTCCGATACCTTGCTCCCGCCCAGCGTCGCGTACCCGTATCCTTTCGTTTCAGCGTACCACCCGCCATCATCGCCACCCTTTACAACGGCTACACCTAAGCCTCCAGGAGACTTCCAGTTCGCCAATATGCCTTCAACATGGTTTTGCTGGGGAGGGGACGGGAGTTCATCGTATTGACCAGAGTTGACTTCGTCGACGCGGACCCAGAAATTCTTCGAGGCATTCAACCTTTGACTCATCGGTGTATGTATAGGACTTATGATAGGTAAGTCAAGGTCATCCCTGAAGAAAAATTCTCCGCACGTATCATTCCACACCGAAAAACAGAACCCAAAGCCCTCATGGTCCAATGATGATTATGTACAGACCCATCATGATTCAGCATCTCGATAATAGCTGAGAGCTTCGTCGGAGGAATGAACAGTAGATGGGGAATTCCCATGCACACCTACGAGAAAGGTGGGCCGGGCGATAGCACCCAACCGCTGATCCGTTAAGCACAGCCACCTACTTGTACTTGGCAGATGACAGAAAAGGAAAGTTTATGACAGGCTCGCTCTAAAGGCAGATTCCAAGGGTAGGGAGCGTTTTCGTAGACCTCACTGCTCCGTCCACGATGATGGGCCGCTGGTGCCGTCTCTGTTTCAGTGCCGATCTCAGGCTAAGGCTCATTCATAAGAGACATCAGTGCCAGTGTCTCAGCTTCATTGTCATCTCCGTCCTGCACCCCGAGGTGAGGTGAGCTCCACTCTCTCACTGTCATTCAATCCCTAACCACTCATCCCAGGCATTGAGGCTCTACCTCTTCTTTCTGTTGTCGGCAATCCTTGTAAGGTAATCACGACCACCACCTGTGGCAAGTGGCCACCACCAACACAATGCCGACAGAGCGGGCAGTCTACGCAGTGCTCATAGAGGATGGCTATGTCAAGAATGGCATCATCAGAGTCAAGATTGACGACGACAAGGACATGGTAGACCTCTTAAGGGAGATTGAAAACCAGTACAACTCTATACCAACGCAGGATGCTCTCATCTGGCTGGTGCGTGGACTCTTGTCATTGTACCTTGCTTAACCTCCTCTGCAGCCAAATGAATTCCTTTTTTTTGGGCGTTCAGCTCCAGAAGCTTTGAGGGCCCGACTGGCAGACCACAAGCTCAGTGACGTCGCCACACCTGCAGAGTACGAGCAAACCGTCGAATCTATTGTTGAGATGAGTCGGTGTCAGTTGGATGTGCAAGTCAAAAAGACACATATAATCATCGAGATTCGGCGGCCGCCCGCGCGAGCCAGACCCATATTGCCAGAAGAGGCTCAGCTCGACGACTTCATAGGGGTGCTTGCTCAAAGTCTGTCAATCTTTCTTTTATAAGCACGTTCCAAATCTTGATTTTTCATATTCAGAGTACAAACTTGTCGTCGCCGGTGCCAGGAAGTGCGAAAGTCCGTCGGTCAACGCCCAATCCCAGTCTTATAACGCCTATCAGGGTAACAAGTTCCCCATTCTGGATGGACGTTACAATGCAACCGCATACGGACAAACGATTGCGCCACCTATCGAACTCTTTCATCCTGTATTCGCTCAGTTTCGCGCCAACCTTGCGGATACAGAGATAGTCATCCCTGAAGATATCGTTCGTGATACCGCGAGCCTCATGCGTTCCAGCTCTGCCATCCAGGTCTCTGAACAACCACGTACCCAGCAGTCCTGGATGTTGCTATCCAACATTCTTAACCAATCCTTTCACCAGGCCGTTAACTTCGATCGTACATTGGCGGACCACATCTATTTGTGTGGAGACACGACCGTCGATGAAACGGCTGCAGTCGTCATCGTAGAGGAGAAAAGTGAACTTGGAGCCGGCGGATCAGAGCCCTCTGTCCAGGGTTCCTTCTCCTACCTAAAATTCTGGGCTGATGCAACTGTAGGCTTCTTACGTCACCATGTATTGCCACCCTCACTGACTGTACTCTCTCACACAGCATCGGCAAATTCGTGAAGGCTGCTGCTGTCCCAGTTTCATTGTTGGAGTGGCAGGACCGTGGCTGATAGTATTAGGAGCTGTGTTCACCAGCCAGGTCATCGTTCAACGTCTTACGGACTATTTGTGGCTTGGAAACAGTCGTGTTGGCAACGACGACCACGTTCTTCGCATTGCCCGTATACTCTATGCCCTCCAAGGTTCAGTCAAAGAGCTTAAAACTTACTATGAAAACCTGAAATCCCAGCCTCTCAAAGAGAACAAGCTCCATCCTCGTTTTTTTCCCTCAATCACCTCTTATCGATTCAATAACAAGGACGTCAGCTTCACCTACAGTTCGCCACTGGAATTGGCCGAAACATGTGTGACGTTTTTAGCCACTTTGGATGGGGAGGGGCAGAAGAAGGTCGTGGTCAAGTTCATCCAGCATTACGGCGCAGAAGCACACAAACTGTTGGCGGAGCTTCAGCTGGCGCCGGCGCTTCTCTACGTTGGACCAATCGATGGGTGCGGCGTCTCATATGGCAAGCTACAGATGGTTGTCATGGAATACGTACAAGGTCAAACACTCGCGCATGCCTATAGCGATGAATCCCTACCGGGGGACGTCAAGATGGCTGTCAAGAAGGGTGTCGACGCGCTTCACAACGAAGACCTTGTTTTTGGAGATCTTCGTAGGCAAAATATCATGATTGCAGATGCGACTGGCGAAGAGAGTGGAGGTGATAGGGTCAGGTTTATTGATTTTGACTGGGCTGGGAAGGCTGGGGATGTCAGGTATCCTCTTCATTTGGCCTCTTGCATACGCGACATCTCTGGCGCGTTGGAGTATGATCTCATACAGAAAGATCACGATATCAAGATGCTACATTCCTTGTGACATCCAGACTCACGTTGACAGAGTGGGTGCACTTGCCCTGTTGTAACATGATGTAGGTTCATTAATGGAAAACAATCCGAGTCGTAGGAAGGGAAGACAGGTCCATCTGGACAGAATGTCCTACTGGGACCGGGCACGTCCGGACGTCATTTTCACCTGTCTGAATCCTAGTCCACTGTGATGTTGCAAGACTCTAGCATTTACATCGTCTCTACTTTACTCCCTTCAGGCATCAATATTACTTTTAGCTGTCGATAGCATTCAATAAGGCTGCATACATTAAAGGGGGAAAGAATCTTCATTCTCAACGTAAATCCAGGTGCGTGATAGAAGCCCGCGAACCTGGACTAGTCTGACTGACGACAATGTTAACCATAATACTGAATTAGTCACTTCCAATGTCTTCATCTCCACCCGGACCAGCGCAACGCTACAACTCTGATGTTAGAGTGAGTTCTGGGCTACGTAGCGAGATAGCGTAGTGAATGCAATAATCCTTGCGGTGAAGACAAAACATAATTGTGCATACTGACTCAGATTTACACAGCATGAAGAGTTTCTTATCACTCCTCTTCTCCCCTTCACGCCTCCTTGCCGGTTGCTACCCTGTTGTGTGACTTGGGCAAATGTACCTGGTTGGTCACCTTGCGCTATATCTCGTACGATCCCAGTCCAGAAAGCGGAGAACACCATCCTCGACCCAGTCCATATTGAAAACTACGACTTCTAGAATTCGTCAAGAGGCTATCCTCCAGACAACAAGCGATACGCGACTAGACATTTGTATTCCATATAGTGAGATGACGCCTGTTTATCCAGCGGGCCTAGGAGATCAGAAATCTGCTAGGCCAGAGTAGGACGACGGCTGGATCCAAGGTAATATTGAGTTCGAAATTGGAGGTTCATCAATGATCTAACACAATGCGTTCATACCAAACGACCTTGACACAAGTCGAGTGGGTTTCCCTAGGCCCTCTTTCTTGTATAACTTGTACATTTCCCCGCTGTCACCGAAGAGCAAAATCGATATATTGAAAATAGCTTGTATATGAAGGAGCGAGGCAGGAGGTTACAAGTCTTCTATTCCCGTCCAATCATATGGTTAGCTCGTTAGAAGTACATCATAACTTCTCACAGAGACGGAGCACAATGCACATGTCTAGTAGCATACCCAGGGTTTAGCCCAGTGTCAGGGACATTGAATTCTTCTAAACACCAAGTGTCAGAGCATGCTCACTAACAGAGTAGAACATAAGTACTAGTGGGCCTACCTAAGCAGTCGAAGAGCGTTATCCAAAGAGAGCCATATTCTCCGATGTGGTCCAAAACTAGGCTCGTTCAAAGTCATCAATTTGTGAGGCATGGAAGACAGGACATGTGAAAATCAGCTTCGCCCACCGAATCCGCGCGCTTCTCAGGATTTTTTGTTTGGTAATATCATTCAGGCTGTTATTTACAACGCTTGAGAACTTACAATGAAATCAATAGGCTTTTTGACCATGGCTACCCGTTCGTGTACTCCATAACTTGAACCACTAACACCGCTTCCGCTATGTATCCCTTTCTTGTCACCGCTAATTGACATACAAAAGCAATATTAGTCCAAGCCCATTCACTGACGATCATGGATTCACTGGCGACATTTTGTGTGTGGGAACGCTTGACAAGTCTCTGCCATGAGAATCTCCTGCACGTTTCTTTACTGTAGCTATCATCGCGTCTCCCTTCTTTCGTTCGCCAAATGTTCTTCCATTCTTTTGCTATTCTTTTTATTCTCCTCTTGTCCCTTCCATCGTCTTAAACCCAAATAGCCACTCACGTACGCACCACCATGACCACTACTCCACTCAAGTAATTACTCCTTCAGAGTCTGTACCGCATCAAACACTATACCATGTCCATTCTGATCAATATTTTCCTATAGACTCGGGAGACTTTTACAGAAAACATTCGCCAAAGCAGCGGTCTACTCCAGTACGATGCTTGCTGGGTACATCAATGACCGATATATATAAAATCGCGTACCCAGCCTCCGCAAGCCTTCCAATCTTTGGACGTTTACCTCTGAGATATCAAACGACGCCGGAGTACGGAGCGTCAAGCTCTCCAACCCCCCATTCTCAACCCTGCGGGACTCCAGAAACCGGACGACAGCATCTTGGCAATTAACGATGCTATCCTCCATGGCAGACGCATCGATCTCGACAGTTCGAAGTCGAGAAAGGGCAGTCGATTTGGTAAGAATTCTAAGGACACCTTGAAGGTGGGCAACATTTTCCAGCCCTTCGATCAAAAGCTCCTCCAGATTCTCAAACTCATCCGCTCCGAGAAGCTCCCAACAATCATTCGTGGGGGCCTGCACAAGAACCAGACGCTTTAATGCACATCGTGATCTACGCACAAGGCACGTAACGCTCTCGGATAGCTCACAAGGGCCACCGAAATTGATTCGAAAGTGCTCAAGAGCAGGTAGAGTGAGACTATTGAGCAGAACTGTGATTGTGGAAGGATAATTGGTATTGGTACGGCGTGTCCTGGGGAAGACGACGTCCAGTGAAAATGATTTGAGCGACGTTGAATGTATGGAATCAGGTACGGGGTGAGATGGGTGGAGAAGAGAATGCTTAACATGTTGGAATGCCACGGTGGCAAGATTGGGTGCGAGCCTGATGAGTGCGAGAGCATCTTCGTTCGAGAGAGACCCAGTGACCACCACGGAGTTTATTTGTGTCCATGGAATGATGACGCGGTCGGGGTGTAGAAAAGGTTGAACATTTTCGACAATAAGCCGACGAAGGCTGGTAACATTACGCAGCAGCGGGACTTCCTCGCGCATTGTGGTAGACCCGTATTCGCTCGAGCTGTATTGGAAGCTAATCAGGGCATCCAAAGGCGAGTCTACAGTCAGGAGACTATCCCTGTCCAAGTCCAAATGTTCCCATCGATACGATGCTGACATTAAGATGAAGAGGAGTGACTGTGGAATCGGGCCACGAAGTCTGACTCGGAGAGGATGGTTGGCGGAACGACAGACGTGTATGGAAAGCAGTCGTGCTGCCTCCGGATGTGGACGAGCATCTTGCGGCCTATGGTCCCAGGAATCGAATGAGGGCGACGGACAAGTCACGTCGATCATGGACCATATTCGAGGGTACTTCAGCAATACGTGCCTCCAGTTTAAGCAAACCATGCCAAGCTTCCATTGATACGGAACACCAATCCGCTGACTCAACGGGTGTGGATCTGAATAGACGGTATATGAATCATTGGCACCTCTCATGGCGTGTGCAAATATTTCGCATAACACGTCAACAGGCAAACGACGAACGGGGTTCAAGACGTCGGTACAGCGCTGTATGTTCCAAACCAGACTATCCCGCTCCTGTAATAGCCCATCCAACTTTGCCTGCGCATCGGCGATATGTGCCTCAACGTCGGCCAAGCGCGGCTCACTAGTCCGCCGCGTTTCTCTGAAGAACGCCTCTTGCGCCTCAGACGGTGGTAAATTGGTGGAGAGAAGAGCTTCAATTTCAGGATCTGGAGCAGGTCGAAACAACGGTATACCTGCACACGTAGCACCGCATTCTGAGCAATTATGAGGCATATCGACTACAATCAGGGTGATTACTATTGTGTAAACATTGACCTAAACGACATATACGTACAGCGGCTTTGCGTTTCCGGCTATGGTGTGAAATTGTCTCGATGTTGGGAAACAGGACGGGGAGGCTGGAAGCAAGGAGTGCTGTCCACGTTGCGACAACGAGGCAAAACGAAGTGTGTTTCCCGGACCCGGTTTCGGCAATCCTCGGCAACGCCTAAGATAAGGCAGAGATCCGCAAATCGTGAATGTTTTGTGGCCAACCCGCACGACCGAGTAGACCAAGTCTCGTTACACAGGTGATTAACGTCGGCTGACAGTGTAATTGGTGTCATTGGAAATTCCAAATACAATGATCGTAATCATTGTAATTTCAAGTGCAATACTAAGTGGTACGCTCAGGTTTCTGATCAGCGGCACGAAGAAAGAACTGAACTGAAGTGCCAACAATTGATAAGTATACAAGCTGTGTCATGGGAGTCGTGGAAAATGGTGGTTTTAAGCAAAGCGACTCTTTTGGCTGGCCGCAACATCGATGTCCGTGATTGAAGAAGTCATCTTGAGTTTCGATTTTCCTTTCGTCCTTCAATTGACGTGGAAATAGGGAATTAGTCTGTCAAGTACTCGCAAGCTACAACCGCAACCTTAGGTTCAACACCTTTTCCCAAGATCCTCAGCATTTCATCCTACTGGAAAAGCACAGAATCAGTTCCAAACCTCACTAACCGATTAAGGTACTCACCCAAACTTTGTCCTGTACGACCTTCCCTTCCTCGCCGATCACGAAATCGCTTTCCTCCACGACCTCTGAGAACGATATGTACGTTTCTCGAAGCTTGTTCTCGTCGTCTGCCCCTTCGATGGCATTATACACAAGCTGTCGACTTCCCTCCTCCGTTGTGAAAGCCAAGGCAGCCTCTTGTTACTCCTGGGGTAGCGAAAATTCGAGATACAGAACCCAGGGTTGACGGAGTTGACAGTGATAGTCGAAGGAGGGGAAGGGAGGCGTTGTTGAAAGGCGCGAGCGAAGGGTACGTTAAGCACTGAGAGAAATTCAGATCAATCTAGGAGGTAGATCATACATTTTGGATCAAAATATCGTCGTTTCATGATTCTGAAAGCAGACTCAGAACAGTACAACGAGGTTAAGGGTTAATGGAGCTCAGTCTGGTGTGTTGTACTCTTCTCTCGACAGTTTGACAAAGGATGTTGGGAGACTCGACCACCTCCTCGGACGTCGTCCAATAATGCACGTCGCTGGCGACAACGACGATTCTCGGGTATACCCCAAATCTCCGAGTACTGTCAATCATCTTCGGGACTAGGCGAATGGCTAATAATCCAGGACCGAGGTTGTTGGTATGCAAACAGGTCTCCCAACCTTCGACGACATTATACCTGCCGAAAGGCGGCATCCCTGCATTCTCGACCAATATATCAAGCCGGCGGAGCTCGCCGCTCGCACTTGTCAGCAAATGCCGTCACGCTTCCAAAATTCGCGAGGTCAATAATCCAGAGCTCCGCCTTCGAATAATCCGTATCCTTCTGGATTCCTACAGCACCAGTTTCAGTTTCTTTTGCAAATCTCAAGACAACAGACTCACGAAGGACCGTTTCCTTTCCCTTCTCTTCGTTTCTACAGGTCAGAATCAATCGTTCAGGATTCATCCTAGCGAAATGTTTTGACGCCTCGAATCTTAAGTCGATGTTTGCCCCGACAACAACGACCGTTTTCCCGGTCAAGTCGACTGTAACGACCGGAGGTATAATCCTGTTTTGGTCGGCAACGAATTGTTCATGAGTCTTAAGAGCCATTGAAAGGGTAGATGATAATCCTGTTAGAGGGCAGCATTTATGGCAGAACTATGGCAGAGCTAGCCGAACGTACGTGTGCGCTCGCCGTCTCACTAGTATCCATTGCGTAACGCAGCCGATCGCTGCAATGACAACGGTTTTGGTAAGAACTTCACACATCACTTCAGAGCATCACTTAGCACTATACTCGGCGAAGGGAAAACGGTAGGAATACACCTTGCGAGTAAAGAAAACGCATTCATTCATTGCTACGCCGCGTCTTGTTCTTGGCATCACTTGGCTCCAACAAATCTTCAGTCCGAGACGTCTAAGTCAGGACCTATTTGAAAATGGCAGCCACAAATAAGCTTATATTTCAATGCCACTTCGGATCCTACGTTGGCGACTAGGAGACAATGAATCTGTAACCCGATGTCTGGATACCAGAAGACATTCAGTTCGGAAGTTGAGAGCAACCATTGGTTCAACGCGCCTCTGCTCTATCAAACGAACTAGACGCAAGCCTCGCGCGGAATTCCCCCGGAAACAGCAGCCTGTCCGACACTGAAACTTGCTCACAAGTACTTTTAGAAAGAGGAAAAGAAGCTAAACTCGTTACTTTCTCACCGTGCGGAGGCAATAGTGAAGCAGCCGGGAATTTTCACTGAGAACATTTGAGCTCGGACCACCGGCTCCTTGGTTTGTTGTTGACAAAGATTCTTCGGCGGGCACCAAGATGATACAAAGATGAAGACTCCGCAACACCCCAATAGTGCTGTCCTGAAGGTGTAGATAAGACTAATGGCGACGACGAGGGCATAGCGTAGCTCACGAAGAGAGACCCGGCCCCACGACTCAGTAAAGCGTATATATCCTCTAGAACTCCCAATGCCATTTCGTATCCACTGTCTTGGACCAGGATATCAGAGATCTGCTAGCCATGACAGAGTAACAACCTCTTGAGTACAAGAAGGGTCGGGTTCAGATTTTGAGAATAGATATCGGTTCAACACACCTCTACGACATCGAAGACAAAAGGCACGGGAACATTTCCCTCAGAAATGGTGATCCATTTAATAGGTAAAGACAATGCAGGCGGGAGCCATTTTGGTACTGAGCAGGTGCTTCTATAGGATTTTAGAAACAAAGCAAAGGAGCCAGAATCCTTGCTTCACTCACCGTATGGAAGGGATCCATGCCCAACATGAGGAAAGGTGAATTCAGATAGTCCCCTTGTAACATCTTATGCCGCGATACGGAAACGGCGAAGACTGCGAGCATTCCGCTCAAAAGGTTGCCAACACGGATTCGATGGCATTAATTCCACGAACATTGGAGACAGTCGTCAAAAGTGACCGTTTAGGTGGATATATGAATCCTTGTAATATATCACGTCACCGCACGATGAAGAGAAACAGGAGGTCGTGGTAGACGGAAGGAGAGGAAATTTGAAATGTTTGGAAACACCGCCACTGATTCCGCATTGACCCCTATCCATGCTCCTCTGCTGAACCCGTATCTTAACGTTTTTATCTAACACCGGGTGAGCTGAGTGAAGTGACTGCACAGAATGCCCGAAGCCTGGAAATTTAGACTCGTGGCCTTGGTTGCACAAAGGAACAGTTAGGCGGATTTAAAAACAAACTCCTTTAGTAACGAGTCCTCGGGTTAGCTCCCATGATTCAGCTGCTAGCCATCTGCTATCATCTAGGACCGCGCAGATAACAATATTCGCACCCAAACATGAGAGGCCTTGGTTGGGAATGAGAATTTCAGTAGCAGTGAGGTCGAATGACATTTCACAGTGGTCAGAAAGATTAGAGAACTTAAAAGAGGACTCGAAAGTGCAGTGCTCTTGTTGCCACCACCCCGTCTAAATGGATTACCCTGAACAAATTCTACTGCACTGTATGACCTGCGAACTTTGGAAAGAGAACTTGAGACCTCTTAGAAACCGTCTTCGGCGGACTTACAGACATCGTGTCAGGAACTTGTCAGGGTCACCGTTCCGAACAAGAGAAAGGAACGTGGCGGAACAGCAGAAAAGAAAGTAAAATTCTCGCGGTGAAAAGCCCTGACATCACGGCGTTCAGCTCGTAGATACTCCGTAGATTTGGTTCGTAAGAGGGCCAAGGCACACGATCAATTAGTATGGTCCCTGATAGAGTGACCTGTCCAGATCTGTTCAATCTGGTAGAATCTACCACCTTGCAGGGACAGGGAGCAATATCCAGCGCCACACCATCCCTCGTGTCGGCAGTCGTCATCGATAGTGCTGCGGATAGTAGGTATCAACCATCGACGAAATACAAAGTACGCATTGGGATACGAACATGCGAACATAAAACACGCCCCCCGGTGCGCAGGCAGTCTTCACAATAAGGGTGGGTAGAGTCCGGGGATGAATATTTAACAAAACTTTGACGAGAGCATTGGACGAGCTCGGCACCGCCTAGACCTTATCCGGGTGTTCTGGCGAACAAACATTTCGTCTGAAATAACGAATCTGTTACGCACGGCAGGTCGTTTCTGAGTGTAGTATGCACACTGTAACTGACATTGCTCCCGTCCATGAAAAGCTGGATGGATACACGCGTATACAATCGAGCCTTCAATCAGTTGCCAACTATACCAAGAATAAGCACTCCGGCCATTCCGAGAAGGTCATTGTTCTTTGGACTCACAGAGAAACATGTGTGCACTCCTGAATGCAAGAGCCGTCGTTTGGGATACAGGCACGCTCGTCTCTCGGCATTTTGAGGAAGATTCGGTCTTGCTGCATTGGATCAAAAGGGTCGGTGGAAAGGTTGTGCCTGTCCTTGTAATCTGTGCCTATCTTTGTCTGACGAAGATGATGAACAACAGTCCCCGACAAAGGCCGACCAGTCACGTACATAATTCGTGAAGAGAGTATCTTCTATCCCTGTGCCCGTTGTCATGACATGTATATTGTTGTGATTCTTTGCCGATGGTCAGTCACCTTCACCTGCCGTGATAGTGATATGCTACCTCCTCGCTGGCAGCTGCAGCATCAGAGAGAGTTCAATTGAATGCCTTTTCATTTCGCCTTCAAATTATGCTGCACACGCAAACACCAAGGTTCGGATAAAAGGGTTCTGACACACAGTGAGATCCCCCGCAAGGTGAGACTGTATCTGAGCTTTCGAGACATATTGATATTTCTGGGTCACTGCCGCACTTACTTTTCCTTCTCTCCTCCTAGCCTGGAATGTGTATGAAGAGAAACATGGCGGACGACTCGGCCCGGGATCCTAATATGGACCGAAAATGCGGCGGGGATTCCTAACACAACCAAATTGGCCGGGACCAACTGGAAGGGACATACCTGAGCACTGTATATAATGGTCATTGCTTCTCAAGTCTCTCTTTCATATTGTCAACTTGTATCAGGCTTATTCCTCCAATTGCTCAAAGTTGCTGTCAGCTGTAAGGCCTGATCACAAGCTGACAATATGAAAGAGAGACTTGAAAAGTGATGACCATAATATATGGTGCTCAGGTATGTCCCTTCAAGTTGGTCCCGGCCAATTTGGTTGTGTTAGGAACCCCTGCTGCATTTTCAGTCCATATCAGGATCCCAGGCCAAGTTGTCCACCATATTTCTCTTCATACACATTCCAGGCTATCCTTGATTTTGTGACATGTCATGATTTGAGAAATCAGGCTAAAAGTTGAAATTTTTGCTGATGCATTTACAAGACCAATCTTTACAAAAGTAAACTCATTTTCCTAGATCTGCCATGCATCTTGTTGGAAATCCTGGGTGTTGCACAGGGTAGACTCAAGGCTGTTAAGACCAGATAGAATGAACTTATTATTCTACAGCTCCTACAGAGCTTGTATTTATACTCTCCAGGCTTATATGTAGAATTTACTACAACTTTCTCTTTCTCTCGAGCTTACTCATCAACTCTCGGCATGATGCCGGATTGCCCTTTCTAGAACTTTCCGGCAAAATCCCAACACATCCTATCGCAACAACCAGCCTGGTACAATGCCATCAAGTTAATGATTTTTCTCACATCGTAACATTGCAATATCTCTGGATCTAACCTCTGCCAGCGGAGGTGCTGGTCATAATTGCTGAGTCTCTCCTTCAGGCTGCAGAATGACTTTATTTCTGGTGGCCAGAGTGGCATAGCGCTTTTGGAATAAATAGGTAGGACTAAAGCCAACTTAGCTCCTGGGACATGCTCAAGATCGTAAACTGCCAGCCCTTATACTCATTCCCAGAACATGGGCCTTCTCACAGTGGTGTTTCAACGTGCGCGCCAGTCACGGTACTTCTATACCTGCCGAGGAGCAAGTTAGGTACGTCACAACGACTACGTTTGTCTCGACTTCCAAAACGTCTTCAGACTCACAAGTTTCTTCATATAGCCAGCAATCGCGGTCTGAAACAAAGTTCTGACACGGCGAAAACTGATATCAGTGACCCTATGGAGCAGTTTTTGCCAGGTAAGGGCAGAGTTAAGTCTTCTAGTCCACTCATAGGTCATCTTTTTTTTGCCGCAGGTTGTACTCCATCCGCGGCTTTGCGTCGAAAACCTTGTTTCCTGATCGGACGACGCTACCGAAAGCACAAAGTCATTCAAGACTAAACCTTATCCCATTATTCAGTCCTGACTTGCCATCATTCCCTTTAGTCAGCTTCTCATACCTACTCTTTACGAGAAGGCTAACCAAGTCATTCACATTTCACAGCCCACTGTCAACACTTGCGATCTGTCTATGAGCCAATCGACGAACATCGATCCTCAACACTTCGTGGTTAACGGAGATTGAGTTTCAATGGGTGGAGCATCATTCCTTGTCGCCCTTCAGTGCACGACGAACGAACGAACGGTGGATGGATGAGGTCCCCGTCTCCAACCATATTCATTTGACTCGACGCTAAACTGTCTTGAGATCGATTCCAGGCATTATCTTCACGTACATGTACGCAGCACTTTCGTCCACGCTGTAAGCGTGCGTAATAGGATTTCGCGTCTATTCTTCCCATGGACTCGGCAACTTCGTTCCTGACGTTAGCGTGGATTCATAGCCTTGTGGTCATTGATGTGCCCGGTAAGCACGCACTCTTCTAAGAGTCTTCTTTTCTGTTATTGCGAAGAGAATACTGAAGTTACGCTGCAGCGCCGCAGAAATACCTAATAAACGGGGTACTCTCAGACTGGCCACCACTCCAGTCAAGTGTAAGTTCACTTTATTAAGAAGCCGGGTAGTAGGCTCGCAAGGCACAAAAACATGTGAAGGAATACCTCAAATTCCTCGACGACAAATTTCGCTAAAAGGTACCTCCGACGGACGACACGCTTTCTCTATTCCATAAGCGACCCTTTTCTGGAATCTCTATTATCATGATGGAACTTGGGCGGACTGGTCTGCCAATAATTATAATACACGCCGGTGGCGGTCTTGGCAATTCATTCTGCGAAGGACAGCACACGGTCACCTTTCGGGAGCAGCGATCCCCAAAATTTCCTTTCCCAAAGACCAACTTTCTCGAACCTGTATTCGCCGCCCTATGTGTCGTTCCTTGCTCGCTCTTCCCGTGTGCACCGAGTCCTCGACCCCGACCAATTTGATCTTCGTCGCTTCATCACTTCAAAGTCTATTTTTACTACAAACACCCTACTGTACGCCCGCAGTATCTATGAGGTCAGTCCTATCTACAGTTTCTTTGCGACCTGATGGAATGTTCACTTTTTGCAAAGATATGTGCGTCACTTTTCCAGGTTTATTCTATGATTTACTTTGGGCTGGATGTAGGTACTTCGGATTGGGGGTTCTTCCTTACAGTCTGTCATTCAGTCGCCGAGTATCTCTCTCAATCTAAGGCTAGGTAAGATTTAGTCCTAAGACTTCTTCAACCGAGATCTCATCGAACGCAAGAAGGCAAGTATTACCCGAATATGGATTATACTGCAGTTCTCGTTGGTCCCCATCCGTAATTCAAATATTCAGAGTTTGTTGATCACTATTGAGCTCACCGAGGTGTCGATTTCTCATCTCGCTTGGTTTAGTCGCTCACAGACGAGTGAAGGAGTTCTTAGTTTGCGTAATGCGTTTTATGCTACTCGTTTCCTCGGACTTTCCTGAAGCGGGTCTTCCCTTTCTTTGGCAATAACAGAACCTCGAAACTTGGACGGGCTATATATGACGCCACAAGCACAGATCCTGAGGGCAAAAAAGAAAACGCGAAACTTTTGAATGCTATAGTTTTGATGGCCCAGACCGAATTCAAGATTGTTTCAGTGGCTTATCTCTACGTTGAAGATCCTCATAAAGACAGACAGTCCGATCGCAACAATATATAAAATCGAAAACGTGATGATAGCATCCGTGTCTCCAGTTCCATCCATGGGTTCAGTCGCGTACACGTGAGTTGCTGCCTCCATTGAATTTTTGCCGTATGAATAGAGTATACAAGTCTCATACAACATCTTTCGGGTGCACGGGCATTTTTGAACGCTATTTTCTTCGCCCTTGGTGCCAGTGGCTCATATATTATTCGTATTTTTACTATGGTCAACGGAGACGAATTGGTGATCGCGGGTGCCTCCGAATGGGTAATTTTTTTTTATTACTAACTAGCTTAACAGCCTCCCGCGAAATCGTCAATATACGTACCTGATTCTACAGCCATTTGGATTTACCTCGCTGGGACATTACTCGGCATGACCGGTAACTTGAAAGTTCGGAGCTCAACCTCCGAAAGGTTGAAGCCTGATACCACGGTCTGTATCTGATGGCAACCTCGAAGGCATTATTCATTCTTCCGACACGTTGTCTTTATACTTGAGGGCGTGGGCTTACTCCGCCTCAACTTGATGACTGTATTTGGAATTCGACACGGTGAACTAGAACCGTGCAATACGCACGACTACATTTTTTATTCCTTTAGATGTATCATTCTCATGTTTCAGATACGGTTGGCTTGACCTTATCTCACGAGGATTAACCTTTTCACTACGGTCTTCTGTCGTCGTCTTCGCCCCTGTCCCGACGATGAAAACAGATCGGTGTCAGGAAATTAAGTACCAAATCCATAATAATGATGGAGATCTCAGTGAAATACCTCGTCTCTGTAGAATTTGACTATGGCTTTTTAGAGTCGAAAAACACTGCATGAATTCCTTTGGTATCATTATTGTCGCCGAGCCGGACCAGCGGCACAATTGTGATTGGTTTGCGGATCTAGCATCAAATTTTGCATTGCCCGATCTGGTATGTGCCGTCCCGAACTCGGAAAGTATGTGTTGTCCATCTAGATGAAGTGCTCTGGACTAAATTATTGTTTATTTATACGACTGCGATGGCCGTTCCTTTGTACTGAACCTTGCTCAGTGTTTCTACAAATCTGCCTATGCACAACTCGACACCTCGAGCCATGAACTTCGGTCACTCGAATTTGGAGGCGTGGAACGCTGGATTCGAAGAGTTGTCTGGGGTGTACTCGAACGCAGAGGCGAGTTCTCATGCTGGTAGAAATGACCCTCATAGCGGTGGCCATCCTACCCACCATTCTCATTCACAATATCAGTCCCAGCGCCCTCTCCATACGACCCAACCTCTCCAGCCACACACGTATCAGCCCTCGGCCCAGCCAAACAGTTGGGCCCCTCGTTACGATTCCTATGACTCCAATCTAACAGCCCAGCAATACACTGTTGATAGTGGTTTTTCTCCCTTCGCTCATAATTCCTCCAACTACCCTACCCAGCCCAGTGCTTACCCTACGCAATCTTCATATCCACCCCCACGACTCACGCCACCCTCCCATCAAGCAAATCAGACACAATCAAATACCGATACTCGTCTTTCGTTTGCCGGGTCTCTCGATCCCTCGACTGGAATTTTTTATCGCACGCCAGAGCACCCGCGTTTACGCACCGCACAAGCGTGCGAGAAGTGCCGGACACGAAAGGCCAAGGTATTTCAGCGTCGTCATTTCTGTCTGTTCACTGACCGACATTCAACTATGTAGTGCAGTGGCGAACACCCGTCGTGCAAACGATGTCTTACCAGAGGTCTCATTTGCCGCTACGCTCCAGAGGGTCGCGTGCGCGGTCCTAACAAACCCAAAAAGCCTGCAACTTCATCTGAAGGCGCGTCGCCATCATCTTCCCAAAATCAAAGCTCCCGACAGCGCCGCCCTGGATCTTCTGGTTCGCCATCGACATCCCACGCGACCACGGCATCCTCCCCTGCACAGTCTACTCGCCCGATAACGACAGAAATTCGTCCCATCCCCGTTGGTGCCTCCAAGTATCGTTCCCATAATCGTCGACCATCTCTATCCCGCTCTTCAAAACCGCGCCCACCGAATTTGGAACTGGACACGATGTCCAGCCATCAGATGCCGTCCGATGGGACCGAGGTGCCGTTGAGCTCTCACTCCGCGCCCTCTCAGGCGTTTTCGTCTTCGCAACCGATGGCTGATCTTCGACGACCGATGTTATCGCTATCAGATGACGAGCGACCACAGACAGGTTTCATCCATCCGCGCGGCATCGCAGGCTTGTCTAGGAACTCACCTGATTCAAAGTACGTATGACCGCATTAGTTTCCTGTACATATCTGATGAATTCATGTGTAGCCCTTCCTCTGCTGTTTCCCTTACGTTTCACAGGACCGGAACTACGCCTCCGCATGTGTATCAATCAACCTCCCCTCATTCTACTAACTACCATTACGATCTCACACCTCCACCGACAACTACACAAGCCTACCATTTTGGTAATACGACCCCACCTCCGTCGCATGTCCTTAGTCAGGCTTCGTATATGAATGACGATGAATCCATGACTTTGACGTATTCATCGCGAACGGGAGCATAGTGGTATTGGAACAGGAGTTAATTTACTTATCTTCTTGAGCTACTACTATGAAAGTATAATATGACACGTATCTTTACGTTCTACTAATCCACCGTCTTTCTACACACTGTTAGTGTGCGCTGATACGATCCCCTTTCGATGAATTATTGTTAGATTGTGTATCTTGACCATAGTAGGAATACTATGCCATGACAGACTACCCCAAGTCCCAACTACATTAATCACGCAATTTACGCACTTTCTGCTATGATGTAGGCTTAATGCAATCCCTTCAAATTGCCTTTTCTTCCTCAAGGAAAATCACGCCCCTGCGTAATCAAATTTGAATTGAGCATTTTCTTTGATCGATTGACCGATCGGGAAAAAAGCCCGACGCGACGCCTGCTGTACGACATGTGCCGGATGAAGACGACTGAGTGTCGCCTTGATTTCGAAGAGCTTCCTGGGTCAAGAGAGACGCTGAAGGTACCTATTCGCTATGAGGATCCTCAATCACTGCTTGCATTTCCTACTCCGCTATTTCCAAATCCCTGTCTCTTCCCGATCATTAGCACATGTCGTCCAGACCCCAAAAAAAGATATACGCCAGTTTTTTTCTTAGTGTCGATCCGCGTGCTTTTCGGGATTTCCAAGAGGGTAATGCGCTGCAACCTAGCAACGCCAATACAACCGTGATTTGTGGAGATCTTCCGGGGTCTTCCCCTCTTCGTAAGTGTATTGTTATTATTCTGTCGGGACCGAGAATGAAGTCGGGGGAATGCGGATAGTCGTTGTGAAGTAGCGCGTCGGCGGCTGACTGGAGATGATTGGCCGATACCAATTTTGTAGAATTCTACCAGGAAGAAATGTCAGGCACCTCGTCCGAAGATTGTTTTTTTTTTTCTTTTCACACCTAGGGGAAGGTAGGGTGGTCCTGATCGCCCGTGGTGGTCGATAACAGCAAAGATGTGAGGACAGGCGGCCTGGAACAGCCTCTCGGGGGGTCGCAGGATAGGACCGCGCACTGGTCTATGGTCGAGATCGACGCCGACGCCTGGCCAAAGCCAGTGGTCTCGAAGTTCCCCTAGATTCCCCGAAAGTCTGGCTAGATCCACGCGCCAGAAATGAAGGTTAGGGACAATTCAATTATCAAATTTCTGCCAGCCAGTAGACAATTGTGTATCCATGTCCAGAACCGTAACAAACGTTTGATGTTACCAGCCCGATATGATGGTGGAAATCTCCTGAAAGAAAGGGGAACAGCCGAACACACCCCCTCATAAAGTTTGGTGTTATAATGGTTTCTGACAATATGTAACGCAAAACCAAGAAGACAGAATTGGGTGGACGTCCAGTGAGGGACGGGAGATATGCACTGCGGTTTTCAATTCCCTGAGAATGAAGCTAATCAAGAGTTTGTACTACAAGTATATGTGCTAACACTGGTTGGGCTACGGGGAGCGAGAGCCCCGGCACCACTCTCCATTGTCGCGGTAAGCATGGATCACGACACCAGGCCGTGCATAGCGGAGTACAGGGTACAAGGAACCCGTCACATGCGGCAAATCTACGGAATGAATTGCCGAACCGGCAAGTGGGCTCCGCTTCAATAGTCGGCCCGTTGTCGGTTGATGGTCTCGTAGTGGTAGCGCATTATTTCTTTGGCTTATATGCCAAAGCAAGCTTTCCTGCAACATCTGTCCTCATATTACTCTTATTTGTTTTATTGACACGACTAAACGGCTTTTCTCATGTCGGCGGCGTCTTCATACCGTGGTGGAAATTTGTTCGATGCTGAAACGTTACTTCGACCTCGGTGTAACAACTTTTTTTAAGCGATGAAATGAAATGGTGGATTACTTGTGAGTGCTGCAAAGCTCTTGACCTATATAAACTTGGCAATAATGGGCGCTTGTCGCGTCTGGAACCTCATCACTATGCGTTCTCTTTCCCTTACACTGTTTGGTTTAGTATCTTATGCTTTCACTTTTCCTCTAACCAAACGCGCCTCTGGAGTCACTACTGATGCCTCTGAAGCCGATGCTCAATCCTTTGACTACATCGTTGTTGGCGCTGGCCTTACTGGAACAACAGTGGCCGCGCGACTTGCAGAAGACTCCGGTGTAACAGTTCTTCTTATCGAGGCCGGAGCAGATAATCGTGACGATTCTCGCGTCTACGATATCTATGCTTATTCTCAGGCCTTCGGCACCGAACTGGATTGGAGTTGGTCGACAGACGATGGCAGGACTATTCGTGGGTAAGTCTTTTCCTTTCAGGCTGTCAAATTATTCAGGCTGGGCTAGGGGGAAAACTCTGGGTGGAAGTTCCTCAATCAATGGCGGACACTATACACGTGGTTTGGACGCGCAATTTGATGCATGGTCCTTACTCTTGGAAGACGATGAGTCCGATGTGGGCTGGAACTGGCAAGGGATGTTTAATTACATGAAAAAGGTACCCATTTTGGTTCATTCTGCTTACCAATCTTTTACCAATCTGCCCGCCCAGTCGGAGGATTTCTCCGCGCCTAATGACCAACAATCTGCAAAGGGTGCGCAATTCAACGGTGATTACCATGGATACAACGGACCTGTCCAAGTGACGTACCCCGACGAGATGTACGGTGGACCTCAGCAGGGCGACTTTGTCAACACAGTCGTCAATCTCACTGGCATCTACCATTCCCCCGGTCTCAATGGTGGCGGAGCCAACGCGGTCTCAATCACACCTTTGGTGAGCATAATGTTTGACCTCGTCTCGTTATTGCTAATGATATACATAGACCATCAATTGGCATGACGGTGATCATCGTTCTTCTTCGGTTCAGGCATACCTTACCCCCGTCGAAAGTGTACGATCCAATTGGCTTACCCTTGCTGAGCATCAGGTACGTTATTGCATTGCTCTTAAGACATAACTCTCTGTAATCGCCATGATAGGTTACTAAGATCAATTGGGCAAACACCAGTAGTGTTCTCTTGACTGCATCTGGTGTTGAATTTGCTCCCGCAAGTGGAGGGTCTACCAGATACACTACCACTGCAAACAGGGAGGTCATTGTTGCATGCGGTTCCATCCAGGTTTGCTCTCTTCTTCTGTTTAACGATATCTACCGTACTGACTCACCATTCCTAGTCTCCTGCGCTCCTTCAGCTTTCTGGAATCGGCGACTCCGATGTCCTGGGACCTCTAGGAGTCGATACACTCATTGATCTCAAGACTGTCGGCAGAAATCTTCAGGAGCAGGCGCTTGTCACCATCATTCTCATACCTTGGCATGACTTAATTATTAATACCAGACAATGAACTCCCTTGGCGCTGGCGGTAACTTTGACGATGGAGGACGTGGACCTTCGGATGCCATTGCCTACCCCAATATCTATCAGGTATTTGGCGACGAAGCAGCAGCATCTGTTAGCAAGATCCAGTCTAATCTGTCATCCTGGGCCAGCAGCCAAGCAAGCTCAGCGTTGAGTGCAGATGCTTTGGAACAGATATATAGCATCCAAGCTGATTTGATCATAAACCACAACGGTAAGTTGGACTTTCATACGAGATCTGTATGGTAATTAACATTGTACATCAGCACCTATCGTTGAGCTTTTCTTTGATACTGGGTACCCAGCGTGAGCTATAATGTTTGAGTTTCGTGCCATTGGTTCTGACGTTCTCCAAAGTGCTCTTGGTATTGATGAGTGGCAGCTACTCCCATTCAGTAGAGGAACCGTCCAAATCTCGGTATGCGCAATTTTTTCCAAGTGTGCCGGAGTTCTTTTACTAATACGTTTCATAGACCACAGACCCATTCACTCAGCCGGCAATTAACGTGAACTATTTCTCCGTTGATTGGGACCTCGATGTCCAGATTGCCAGCTCCCGGCTGTCTCGCACTATTCTTGCCAGTCCTCCACTCAGGTCAGCGGGGTTTTGAGGCCGGAATTGATTTGTGACTCTGACGAATTGTATAGCGACCTCTCGACCGGCGAATCTATCCCTGGTGACTCAGTTCCTAACGATGACGACCGCGGCAGTGACGAGGAGTGGAGATCGTGGATTACGAATGGTTTCACGGCAGTGTCGCACCCGATTGGAACATTGGCTATGATGAAGAGAAGTCTTGGCGGTGAGTTTCATGTTTCATTTTTTGTTTTCATTATTTGACCATCGTAAAGGTGTCGTCGACTCTCAGCTCAAGGTTTACGATACCTCTAACGTTCGCGTCGTCGACGCTTCGGTTGTGCCTTTGCATATCAGTGCTCATCTTTCTGCAGGATTGTATGGCGTTGCTGAAAAGGCGGCTGATCTAATCAAGGCCTCATATTGAGCGTCTCGATACCCTTATACTTTGACTTATATTCCCTTGGACTATTGTTTGGTTTCATATTAACAGAGGAAGGCTTGCCCTCGTCGGCGTTTTTTCGGACTGATACCACTGTACAGACTTGTATAGTAGTGCTGTAGTAATACTAGTAGCCACTGATCTGTGGGCACTTCTTCATTTTCCGGACGGTGCGGAATGCTGACATGAATAAAGGAAAAATCAACATACCAGTAGTAATAGTTACACCAGCGGCGGGCTGTACAATGAAATTGTGCCCTGGATGTTCCTTGGAGCCGTCGGGCTCGTATGACCCTCGGATATGAATCTATACATTCTACAGGCAACCCTACCACGCGTTCACCATTAGCTCGAGTCACGAGTACGCCTACTCGAGGGCTTCATCATACATGTGGTTGTTCGGCATAAGTAAAGTGGCGCAGAGTTGATGCTCTATTCTCAACCATATCGGTCTCCTCTATCCGTGCTGGGAACCGTCTGGTGAGTTGGAGGCGCCTGGAACTCGGGACACGAATATATAAACCACTATAGCTGAGTTGAGGTTTTCCCATCGAACGAATTCGCCCTCTGTTTCGATACGTCCAACATGTACTTTTCTCTCGCTTTTCTCCTTTCGGGTTTGGCACTCGTCAGCCCTGTCTTGTCAGGTATGCATCCTGTTGGGATCATCATTGCTGTTGCCTGACCGCACCACCTTAAAGAGGTCTGCAAAGGGCAGGTCACGCTCAGCGAGTACTATATTGGAGTGGACAAGAACGTCAAGGTCGAGACTGTGTCCTGCCCCGAGATCTCTCACGCTAAGCGCAGCGACTTGTCTTCCCGCCAAGCTTCGGGTGCTACCAATGTCTGTGGCGCAGAGTGTAAGTGTATTTGCGTATTTTCTGTGTGGGAGTTTTTGATTGATGAAAATGGGCAGGTGACACCTCCTGTTTCACTCCCAGTGGGGGTGGCCCGGATCCTAATGAGTGCCATGTCATTGCTGATGCACTCCGCTATGACAGTGAAAATACTGGTGCGTGTTTGTTTGATTTTACGAAGGTATTTGGGCTCACCGTTGAATAGGAACCTACTTCGATGTTAATAACGGGGTATGCACACAATCTGGATCAATGCCGTGCAGATCTCTAACAAATTTCCAGACCGCTGGCGATAATATTGTTGTCATGACTTATAACAGCTGCGAGACCTTCTTTGCCAATCAAGCGGACGGGGTTCTGGAGTACTGTCGTACTGACTGGGTATGAGGATGGGGTCTTTTGTTTGCTGTAATTTATTGGCTCAATGCTTTCTATCTCCATTATAGGCCTCTGTCATTGACTGGGTGGCTCCGAACTGCCAATCCACCCAGAATGCGCATGGTGGAGACTGTATTGCTAGTGACCAAACGTGGTTTATCCAGTGAGTTTCCCGTGGCTACTATGCACACGTTCTTTGACCGAGTGACGAATTTCACTTCAGGGTCCAGCACTCTTAAAGCAGTCGACCACTTGACCGTTCGTGAAAGAAACGTTGCAAGACAGGGAATTTTTAATTGTTATATCAAATCTTGCACGTACTTGGACATGCATACCACTTCGTCTTTCGTTACCAGTTAAATACTGAATCTGTTTGAACCACATTTCTTATCGTTGGCCTTATTTCATGGCTACCTGCAAGACCTTCGCGCACTCGACTAAGTCGTGAGGATTGTCCTGATTATTTATTTAAATCAACCGTTGAACATATTCGTTTCGTTCGTGGGTCGAACGATAGAATTTCCAGGCCGGCACTTCGTTCCGAATCTTTCGTGCATGACTGAAGTTAGGTTCAACTTGAACGGTCTTCCTGTTAGATCGTTCTTTCTGACTCAATCGCCATTATACTCCACGCGGTTTCATAATCCCCTGCGGCTCATTATCAATGGGCAGTCTGATCCTATAGGATAGAGAGATGTTATAACTGGATATCCCTATATATTTATGGAGAACGCGTACTTAGATCTACGCAGATTAGACCTTTGGTTGACATTGATAATGGCAGGATCCTTAGATGCCTTTTTTGAGCCACAAATTGTCATCTCGCTATTTGCCGCTGTCGTCTCGTCTCTTGTTCTGCTATCACCATCATGTTCTTTCGGATCAAGCATATTTATTATTCACGCACCTGTTCCACATCGTTTTCATTTTTTTTTCGTCCAATTGACGCCGGTTATAAATAAATCCGACCCTTACCACGGCATCACCACTTAACGTAATGGAGAACTGACTCATTTCGAAATTCCCTCTGTGTCCAACACGAAATGCACTCAAGGATCCTATTCTTTCTAGCGTTAACACCTCTTGTGATTGTTGTGATCTACAGTCTACCTGCAAACAAACAGGCTGCTTTTCAGGTGCAACCGGCGAATAGGCTGCTTGACCTGGATATCGACACCTTCATTGAAGGCGTATTGGCGGACTGGAAGTCTCCTGGAGGCTTAGGTGTAGCCGTTGTAAAGGGTGGTGACGATGGCGGGTGGCAGGTTGAAACGAAAGGATACGGGTTCGCGACGCTGGGTGGGAGCAGGGTATCGGAAGATACGCTCTTCTGCATTGGTTCTAATTCCAAGGTGCATTAATCAACTAATTCAGGGTAATGTGAGCTAATTCTGAGCAGCTTTTCAATGTTCTTGCGACTGGCCTTCTTATTTCCAACGAAAGCCTCGTTCCCAGGATTTCCTGGGACACCAGGATCGCGGATATCGTCCCCGAGTGGGAGCTGAGGGATCCTGTCGCGTCCGCAAGGAGTACGATTGTTGATTTGATGAGCCATCGGACGGGTCTCCCTCGGGATGACTTGATGTATTCCTGGACGGAGGATATACACTCTTTGGTCAACACTCTTGCTTCACCGATTGCTTTTCAGCTAGAACTTACGGGCCTGTAGCTCCCCAGATTCAAGTTCCTCCGGCCGTCGACAGAGTTTCGCGATAAATGGCAGTACAACAACAATATGTACACATTACTGTCGTATTTGCCGACTGTCCTGCTGCCGTCCAGGATACCGTACACGCAATATGTCAAGGAACATATATTCGATCCTTTAGGTCTTAGCTCGACTACTTTTTCCGGAAACGTCGCGTTGGAGAGCGGGAACTTGGCGGAGGGCATAGCGCGGGATCAGGTCAATAGGACGGAGGATTTGTTTGGACAAGGTATATTGCGTTCGATGCCTTACTGGATTTCGGTTGATGGAAACGACGGATCGCGTGAGTGCATGGATACTTCTTCTCACGAGTCAACTAAGGTTTTCAATCACAGTGCTATCTGGTGCTGGTGGCGTGATTATGAGTGCCAGAGATGCTGTACGCCGAGTACCCATCGTGTCAGCCACAATTTGTTGATCTACTCCTCAGGTAACATGGCTACAGACACTCTTACTGAATGGCAGAAATCCTTTGACTCACGAGTCTGTCATACCACCTGAAATTATCAAGAAGGCGGCCACCGGGGTCACTGTGGTTCATGGACAAATGTAGGTCACTCTGTTCATACTTTTAGTCCCACTTGACCGCTCTCAGGAGTCATCCAACCTTATCTCCTGTTGTGTATGGTGGGGGCCAAGCTATTATGGCATATCGAGGGCATAGTAAGCGACATTTGCTTTTTATTCAGCGCCAAATTGACGTGTGCTCCCAGCTTTGATTGAAGTATGTTTCTGTATCTTCACGCGTGAGGCTTGACCATAATCATAGTTCTGACCAGCATGGAGGCTCTGCACCAGGTAGATTGGCTCTCCCTTCTTCCTTTATACGTTCTTTATGATCTGCTATAGGTTTCCACACACAGATAGCCAGACTTCCCTTCGATAATCTTGGCGTTGCGGTATTCTCAAACGATGACATATACGGCGACCGGATCATGAACATTGTCAAGTTCGGTATCATAGACAAGGTTCTCGGTCTCGAGCGGATCGACTGGAACGACATGTTAGTGTTCATCTCCCTGCTGTTCTCCCTTTCTCCTTCCTAAATGCTCCCTAGAATGAAGGCTGCTACAGCAGCGAGCTATAAGAAGGCCTCCTCCCAGATAATCCCACGTCCGGACAACCCAAAGCCCCCGTCAGCACTTTGGGAAGGACGGTACAAGAATGATGCGTATGGTGAAATCCTGCTCTGCCTCGTCGGTCTGGAGTCGTCGACCCTACCAGAATGCCATAAGCTCACCGACGAAGTCTATACGACCCTCCCAGGCGCGATAGACCTCGCTATCCCAACTTTGGTAGCCAAGTGGAACAAAATCTGGGCTTCACATATCGTGTTGGAGCATTTCGATGGAGATTTGTATAATGCGAGTGCTTTGGATAGTATTGTGAGTAGAGCGGTTCAGTCATTTTTATTTTCCATGGACTTTCTGACATTCCTGTCAGGCTACGGATGACGGGTTCTGGGTGAATCAGGAGGCGAGAGACGAGCTCATTACGGCCGAGTTTGTGATTGAGGAAGATGGTGTTGGGTTTGGCTTGACCGGCGGGATTTGGGGTGCTGGTCCCGGCGTCGATCCTCCGAAGGGTGATACAGTGCGGGAGAGAGCTGAAGTATGGTTTTGGAAGGTGTAATAAAGTGATGTACATTCGCACTATGTATCTATAATTTACACATGGAAAGGTGATCATCTTCATTGCGCCCAGGGAGGGTTAGGTATTCGATTTCGGTTCGTGTCCACCGCGCCGCCGAGAGCTTGAGAAGTGCCCTATAAACAGCGGTATGCGGCGTACGATGAGTGATATGGCATTCTTACGGCGCCTAACATCTTATCCGATGCAGAGAGGACCTATCGTCTAGGGACGGGTAAACAAGCGAGCTTCCGCGCGGACATATTTATTGGTTAGCAAATCAATATATCACACTTGTGCCTACACCGGCAGTTATGAATACAAAAGATCTCAATGGCTATCGTAGCAGCGGCGCCGAAGAGATCCTTGTCCCTGTTTCTTATGAATAAAAATTACAAAACATCAGTGAGAAGTATCCTCCTTTGCCGGTTTCCTGAACTTATGGTTAAAGCAAGAATAAATATAAGCACAAGTGAGTTTGGTGGGTCCCAGCGGAAAAAGGGTCGGCCGATCGGCAACTTGAACTCATCACTGGTCCGATGAAACCCGACAGGTTAACCTTTATGATGTCACAATAGGGTAGCTGTTACGCAGTACGACCTACTTGTGCCCCGGATCTATATCTATCATTAGGCTGCGGTCCAATATCCTGGTTCACACTCCATATAGCCAGCCTATGTGGCTTGATGCTGCTACCTACCTTGGACATGTGACTTGTCATTGCAATTATTCCATGGGATATCACTTGACAAAAGTTTTGTGTATACCAAGCGGCCACATTTGATGACTTTGATAACAGTATATGATGTCATTCCAGGCTATACATCCAATTCTCATCTTGAATGGACTTGTCAGTGGGCTCATCAACAATGACAGCCTTCCAACTGTTCTTTCTTCCAGCCACAATGTATCTGCTCTATGTCCTTGTTCTGCATTTATGGTGTAAAGTTATGAAAGGTTTGTGGTCCACCATGACCATCATTTCTACTAGGTGTGACCCTTGTCTTTGCTATACATAAAATCCTAAACAATTGACCTGTATACCAGGATACAAGTGGGTTATTTGTCAACAAGATGCTGTCAGTGATCTGAAGATGACTTGGTACTGACAATATTGCACTGTATATCACATTGGAGGATACTTTGACATACACCATCTTCTATTGACATGATTGCTGATTTTCTTAATGTCTATCCTTGTATTCCAATCTCCAAGCAGGTCTGTGACATCCTCTGAAAAGGGACTGTCCATCAACATTACCAGAAGATCCTGAATGGTTTATTTTCTGCTTCTCAGATGCAGAAATTTCTCCTCATTTTTCAATCTTTGGCTTTCCTGATGCATCTGTTTTTGTACTATGAAGATATACAGACAGTGATATCATTATAGCTCATGGATAAATTGAACAAGAAACTCAATAATAGCTCTTGTGTGCTGAATGCAGTTGAATAGACAAGCAAAGTCAAGCTTGATATAATTGGAATGACTATACCATCCAATGTGTCTTTTCTCATCAACAAAAGAACTGACTGCATACCAGCTTTCTTCTGATTCAAAGTATTGAATGATGATCAGATGGAGCTGATGGATGCTCTTAAGGATGCAGTGTAAGTCATCATCTCATCTAGACTGGCCTCATGCAGTACCTTACCATGACTGTCAGTATGGATTCATAGATGCATCCTCATGTCATCAATCTTCTGTTCATAGCTCTTTGGAGACTGTTGCAAGATTCTGTATTGAACATCCTATTGCTGGTTCCCTCCAAGAAAATGCACCAGATGTTGAACTTCAACAGCATCTCCAAACAGAGCTGATTCTTGAAGATATTTTGAGTGATCACAGTTGCCTCCAATGGTAAGAACCCTGAGGAAAAGGATATTGTAAACATTCTGGATGAGATTCATCCTGAATAATCATCCTTTGTATTTCATTCTTAGTTTGGGTTTGTAGACCATAGTGCTTTCCTATCTTTCCAATGAAGATAAGAAGAAAATGAGTAATGATGAAATCAAATCACAGTTGGCATAAGTAACATCTCATTGATGAAAATTCATCTCTAACATCTTTATCAAATAGTGTCTTCATATTGGCTGGTCATGATACCACCATGAATGTGATCACTTTGCTTCTGTATAAACTGAGCTATCACTCTGATGACCAAAAGCAGATCCAAGATGAGATCAAACAGTTCCAGATGAACAATGACATGATGCTGAAATCCAATGATTATAATTCCATGTCATTTCTCAACACTGTCATAAAGGTGTTGTGTATACTTATATTACACTACACATAAACAGACTGCCAGTCAGGAAACAATATATATCTGTCATGAACTTCACATGTCAAACCTGTGCTTGTACAATAGAAAGTCTCAATACAGATTAGCTCTTTGCCAACACTGTATTTGTTCATGGGCATGGTATAAACAGGGAATATCAGTTGCTGATTACTTCAAAGACATCCATTTGTTCATATATTTACCAAATGGCAGACTAAGAAGACATTCTTCTATTGTCAGAGCCCATTATGACCACTAATGGAAGAGTCACTACTGAAATTCCAATCTCCAAAAGACAAGTTATCTCTGCATCCTTGTATACTTATAACCAGCATATGGTTTGATTCTGTCAATGTTTGTTATAGCTCATCTCAGTTGTGTTTAGCCTTCCAACAGTCTGATGTGATAACACTAACCAATGGAATCCAAGTGTTAGACCTAAGTTGCATGTGATCAAAACACATGATAAACAGATGCTGTATTGTATTCATACAGTCACATCTGAGTCCACTGATATGCTCTGTTGACCATTGTGCTTCAAGGCCATTGACAAGAGGCTCAAGAATGAAATAGTATGGATAAACTTTAGCTTGAAGCTGGAGTTATACCAGTGAGAGCTAGCCTACTTATATACTGTTCATTTATAGTGATAATTATACTACTTCCTATTGTACATGTCCTGGTCTTTGTGCCCTTTGTCCTTGAGTGTCATTGTTGCATCAAAAGACAATGACTGATGTGGCTTGTTGTGCTGACTAAGCTGATCCCACGGTCTTAAGCACCGGGATTGGCACTCTGACTAAGCATAAATAGGGGTTAGTTGAGGAGAAATAAGGAAATAAGTGAGAAAAATTGTAACACCAAGTCAATTTCTGAATTCTGCAGAGAAGAGGCAACTGTCTCTCAACATGTACTCAAATTTATGTGCATCCTTCTTTTTATCTATTTCTCTAAACACTGATTGCTTTGCTAGAATGACATTCAGTGAGTATGCCATTATCTACAGTTCAACCTTGACTCACCACTGCAATAGATGCAGGCATCCATGTATGCCTTGGGTAAAAAGCATGCCTTTCACTATTGAGCACAAAAACTGGCATAGATTTATGGAGTTCAGTTGGAGATTTGCATGAGCATACTTGCCATTGAATTTGTTTATAGTTTTACAAAGTCTACAGGACTATGGAGATCAAATCAGTCACTGTAGAGATTCTCCATAACTTTGAGTTCAAGCTTCCTGAAGACATAGAGCTACTGGATATATCAGGGATGCATAGTTGTCTTCCAATTGTTAAGAGAGAGTTGATCAATGGCACTCAAATTTTATTGCATATAGCTGTTGTGAGACAATACTATACTTCACCAAGTATGACTAACTTATATAAACTTGAGATAATGTTCCTGAGCAGTCAATTGCTTTCTAAGCAATGACCATCATATCAGATGAGTAGCATACTCTATTCACTGCCTGGGTGCTCTAATTATAGTGAATGGAAAGAAAACATGTCAGTCCTACTGAAGGTCTAGCATAAGTATCCCATCACAATCAGATAAGACTCTGAACTAGAGTTTGCTGATCTCAACTATCTGACATATCAGAAAAAAAAAAGATTGAAAAGAGTGAAAAAAAACAAAGATGTCATCTGCTAGTACAATCTTGTTGCAGGATGACACAAGTATCTGATATCAACCTTATATAAGCATAGACAGTTTTGTTCTGAGTTGATGGTTAACTGCCTTTAAGCAATTGACCATCATACTCAGGTGAGTAGTAGTCATATGTACCAACTGCCTTTAAGCAATTGACTGTCATACTCAGTCTGGCTGTTATTCACTGTGTGATAATAACCTGCCTGCAACAGATTATGAGCCCTGTGTTTTAAGGTCTATTTCATTTTTTTCATCTTTGCATCTTGCTTGTGCCCTGCTATCTCTCCATCAGTCACTTCACTACTGAAACAATATCATCACATACATCATGCCATCCTTCAACACAATCAAAAAGGGCTTCAACAATATAAATGCCTTCAATTATAGCAAGTAGGAAGAAAACATATTAGCCCTACTCAAAACTCACCATGAGTACCTTATCACCATTGGCTGTGACCCTGAACCAGAGTTTGCAGACTCTGAGAAGCCAATATATCAGGAGAAGAAGGGCTGGAAGGAGACTCAGATATTAGCTGCTGGCATGATCTACCTCTGCCTTGATAAATCCCAGAAGGCTCATGTCAAGAGCTGCCTTGATGATCCAGAGAGGATGTGAGACACATTAAAGGCACACCATCAGCAAAGAAAACCAGTGACTCAATTTGTAGCCTATGACAGCTTTTTCAATCTCAAGAAGGAGACAGAAGAGTCACTTCCAGACCTTGCCAGTCAGGGCACTCAAATCATAAGTCATATCCATGCTCTGTGCTCTGCTCATTTTGGCCTCCAGCAGTTAGAAGAAGAGCTTCTCATTATAGCTCTGATTTGTGCACTCCAGAAGCCTGAATTTGGAAACTTTATCATATCACTATTTCTTCTCTCCAATAAGCTCACTCTTGAAGGACTCCACACTGCATTTCACAATGAAGAAAACAATCAGAAGCTGCATGCCAGTGATCCAGCAGTCTCTGTTGCTCTTAAAGCCACACCTTTCCATTCAGCCATGAATCCAGCTACCAATGCTGCTGCAAAATGTGAATAGTGTCTTTGCAAGAATCATGCAGAGAAAGAGTGTATAACCAAAAAGCTCTCACTTAAACAGGACTGTGAACATGCTGCCAACCATACTGCTGAGAAGCATCATCACAAGAGGGCTGAAAAGAAGGATTTGGAAGCTGCTAACTCTGCTGAGACAAAGGAGGAGACTGTTAGCTAAGCAAGTACTGATTTATCATCACCTGCTGTATCTCATTGAAATACCAATACAGGCACTTCTCATCATATGACTCCTTACCAACAATGGTTCTGACTCTATGCTCTACATGTCATTCCTGTTTGTCTTGCAGACAATTCAGTCATCTATTCAGCAAGGATTAGATCAGTAGTACTGGAGCCAGAGATTCAGAGGGAGAAAAGCTCAGCAGTGGAACTTCTTGACACACTATATGTATCAGCATTGAAAAGTAATCTCTTATCATCCTATCATCTCACACAGGAAAAGGGATTCAAGATCTTAATCACTGAATCAGATGTCACTTTCAGCCAGAGTGAAAAGGTTTGATTCACTGCAACTGTAAATGAGAGCAATATTGGCTATGTCAATGCTACTACATATTCATTCTCAAAATTGGCCACTATCATTGCAAACTCAAGCTCCACAAGTACCTGCCAGATGGACAACACACTTTGGCATAGACATTGCTGTTATTGAAACATGGACACTATATAGCACATGCACACAAAGCAGCCAGTAACTGGAATGAAGTGAGAGTTAGGTCTTTCAACTGATTCTATCTGCACACCATGCCTTGCTGGCAAACAGTATCACCACAATGTTCCTCATGGCCCCTTAGAGTGGAAGAAACATCTTCTTGAGCAAGTATACAGTGATATCAAAGGTCCAATACCTGTCACAACTCCAGAGAGCTATTGCTACTAGATAACATTTATCTGCAGTGCATCTGACACTTGGGCTGTCACATCTCTGAAGTATAAAAGTGATGCCTTTAATGCCTTCAAGTAGTTCAAATCATATGCAGAGAATACCCATTGAGGACTCAAAATCATTGAGTTTCAGAAAGACAAAGATGGTGAATATATGAGAAAGGAGTTTATTGACTTCTGTGCTGAGCATGGGATCAAAAGGTGACACACTGAACCCAATAAACTATACCAGAATAGCACAGCAGAATGAGCCAATCACATGATTGCAGAGGCCATCACTGTCATGCTAAATAAGTCACATCTCCCATCATCATTTTGGAACCTTGCTCTCCAAGTATTCATTCATGTCTGAAATCACATTCCCACAGATCCTCTTTCAAACACTACACCCTTCACAGAATGGGACTCAAATCATCAAAAACCAGATATATCTCACTTTTGTGTGTTTGAATGCCTTGAATATGTGCTAATATGAAGAAAAAGACATTGAGCATTAGAGTCACATACTCAAAAATGTATCTCCGTTGGGTATCCAGAGAGAGTAAAAGGCTGGCTATTCTGGAACTCTTCTACACAGCAGTTCATCACCTCCAGCCATGCTGTATTCAATGAGCATGTATTTCCTGGAAACTACAGAAATATTATAAATCCTCTCAGTGATGATACACCTCCTATAAACAGAAATAACAGCACAGATACTGCTATACCTATTGCAACAATGCCTCATCAAGGGAGAGAGGACATATCTACTGATAAGCCATCTCTGCTATCTGAGTAACTCTCATCATCATCATTCTCACCATTTAATTCAGCTCCATCCACTCTATCAGATATGCAAACACCTCTAGGATCACCTCTTACTCCACTATCAAGTCTTCTGACATTTCCTACACCCTCTTCACCACTCTCACATTTTTGGGCATGCTTCAAGCTATAATACAACTCTAAAGGCCTTATAATTCCATCTTCAAACACTGGACATG